TGGTTTGTTGGCTGGCGAATTTTGTTACTATTGGACAGGCTAGCTTTCCCTGCCTGTTTCCAGTCTTTGTGCTAAGCTAAGTATAACATTGTGTATTTCCCAAAATGTCCAACTATTCCTTGAAGAATTAGGCATCATTAATGGGTCTGAAAGAATGCACGTATAGCATACAATTTGTAGATTGTATGTAACAAAAGAGTTCAAAGAAACATTGGTCCAGTGCGTGTGCATTTTCCTGCATTTTTAGGGCCCTCTATTGACGGTTAATATTTAAAACAGTCTTGAGAATTTATTTTATTTTTCGATTTGTATTTTTTTTTACAGGAAATATTCTCTGAGAATGTTGTAGGAGGATCCTGTCTATTTTAAATTGCAGTGAAAGATAAGCAGCAAAGATAACATTTGACATTAAATCTTGGTGATCTGCATCCTTTGAAAACTGTTGAGCCTTACGCGTCTTGTTCAGTCAAATCTCTGCACAGTCTATGTAAAGAATCAAAATGAGGAGATGCCTGACGAAGTTCTACTCTCTAATGGACTATATGACAATGTGTGTTGTTTTTTTCTTGTAGTAATGCCTTTGTTTCTGCATTTTTTCTTTTTGTCAGTGGAAGTTTCCCAACAACAGTTGTGTAAAGTCTGAAAGTTCTGCAAGATTTTTACAGAAGTGGTTTCAGATGAGTTTGACTTCCCATATAATAATGTTCATATCCAAGACAGATCTTTCTGAATATATCCAGCAATTATTCTTGCTTCAACTGACAGGCTTTCCAAAGTCTATGAGGATAAATTGTATGTGTGTGTGTGTGTGTGTGTGTGTGTGTGTGTGTGTGTGTGTGTGTGTGTGTGTGTGTGTGTGTGTGTGTTTGTGTGTTGTATGCTGTGTCTGCAGTGTCTGCCATCTTTAATATACATAATGTTGATGACACTGAATTAAACTCATCACACCTCACATGAGGAAATCACTGCCCTCTGTTGGTTGGTTTTTGTACTGCACTGTACAGTACTGAGAAACCACAGAAGTTGATCGGTTTGTTATTTATTTTATTGATGTAAATAAACAGAAAAGTGGAAAAGGGAGAACATTTCTCTTTTTTGTGCAAAACATATAAAGTTACAAGCACTCAGACAATGTCACACAGTCACAGTAAGTGATAGCTTTCTCTTTTTTCTAATTTCTCCTGCCCCCAGACTTTCATCATTTCATATATGATATAAAACCTTTTAACACCCATACCCATAACTTTGCTTATGCATGGTCTCTGCTGCAGATAAACCATGTCGGACCAGTTCCTACCTCCTACTATGTGCGGGACCATGTTAAGGTGGACTACGAGCAGTGTATGACTGTCAGCCGAGGTTCCTCCCAACAGCTGGACTATGAGATCCTGTTCCCGGGCTGCGTTCTCAGGTCAGCTGGAGTTTTCTTACAGTGGCAGCAATAAAAAAGTTATTAAGTGATTTTAAATTGATTTATTAAGCAAACATTCACTGATCCCAATTTCTCAGATGTGAGGATTTGTTGCATTTGCTGTTTTATCACATTGTTAATTAAATATCTTTTAGTTTTGGACTGTTGGTCAGACATAACAAGCAGTTTGGAAATGTGTCCTTAAGGCCTAGAAAAAACTGAAATTTTCACTATTTCTGACATTTAATTAAATAATGAATCCGTTAAAAGAAATAACAAGTTACAGATTAGTCAACAGTGAAAATAAAAAAATAAAATATAAAGTTTTAAACCTGTCAAAAATGTTTTATTAATAACTTTTCTAACAATACCAACTTGCTATAAATTAAGTAGAAATAAGCATAACAAAGCCAAACATACCACAAGCCTGTAGCCTTTTGTTTTTGTGGAAATCTGGCTTTTGTACACAAAGAAAGGTAGTTATATAGTAGCAGCTATAATTTTCAGATTAGTATTAAAAAAAAAATCCAAAACTCAGAGCAGAAAATGATAACGCAACAAAATTATAACTGAATTTGTAATGGAAAAGAAAAACATATGTTTTAAAATGATTTTAAATCAGTGAACAAATGATGAGGCTGATTAAATTCAGTTATTAAAACAGTTAATTATTAATACAGAAGTAGAATACGGAGCATAAGCAACATTTTTTTTTTAAGGATCAAATTCACCTTTTTTTTTTTTACCTCTTAAAGTTACCTATTCCTTCCCCTTTCCAACTTAAATCATACTATAACAATTAAAAGTGGAATTCTAATCTCAGTAGCCAATCATATTAAGCTTAACAGATGCATACATATCTTTTCTTTTTGGCATAATATCCCAATCTGTGTGGTTGTAATGCTACACCTAGCCCAATGAATTTGTAATCAATGAAATTCACAAAAAAAGTCAGAAAGCAATGTTTTATTGATTTGCCTTTTTTTCCATCTTGGCAGGTGGCAGTTTGCTACTGAGGGTGCAGACATTGGTTTCGGGGTGTTTCTGAAGGCTAGAAAGGGTGAATGGATGAAGGCAGCTCAGATGCTCGAAGTCGTGCCCAGCCAGCGCTACAACGCCCACTTAGTACCCGAGGATGGATCACTGACCTGTGAACGCCCAGGAGTCTGTGAGTAACTTGTAACACTCAGCATAGACTGATGCGCAGAGAGCTTTTTGATGTGTAATTATATCAGTGTGGAGATCCAGCTTTTTAGTAACTGTTCTATTCTGTTTGTCTTCCCCAGATGTTCTGAGATTTGACAACACTTACAGCATCTTCCAGGCAAAAAGAATCAGCTTTTCTGTTGAGGTCCTGCTCCCTGACCACTTACAGTCCCCACAGACCAACGGGGGGTCCAAAAACAATGCACAAGCTGAGGGCAACAGCCAGTCATAATTAAAAAGATGACACAATGTGCCACTTCAATGTTGCCAGATCTATAATGTTTAGCAGCTGCTAGTAAGCACAGCCTGAAAGACTTTGAACTGTAACATGCTGCCAAAAGACAAAAATGAATAGTATTTAACGCATGTGAAAATCTGAAGGTTTGACCTTTTAATTATCTTTAATGACATCCTTATTCACATGGTGTGTATTTGGACACATTAATGAACAGAAAGTTCACACATACTATGGCCTAAAGTTTGTGGGTGTCCACAAACCTTTGCACTATGCACATAAATTGTGCACTTTTGGCCTGGTTTTTCATGGTTTGGGCTAAACCTCTTCATTCCAATTGATAGAAATCTCAATCCTTCAACATAAAATTATATTTTAGAGCCATGGCCTCAACCACACCCAACGCCTTTGGGTTAAACTCCAATTTTTAGCCAGACCTTATCACCAGACCTCACTAATGCTAGGAGCATGGGGAGAACAATGTATGGATTAAAAAAGATGGTATTTGTCAGTGTTATAGTGCTATGCTTATGGGAGTGCTCTTTTAAGATCCTTATTTTTGTCTTTAACCATTTTTAGTTTTATGTAATGTTTCTCAGGCGAAATGATTCAAATGGGCACCAAGTCAATCAGTTCAGAGCTACCGTGGCCTGCTTTAATGGTATGAAGTGTAAAATAGGCCACGACGCCTATAAAAGTAGCACAAGAGTAACTTTTATGTTTTTGTTTTCTATGTATAAAACAGGATAAACATTTTCTATACATGTTTTTTTTCATATGGCATACATATCTGCCATAACAGTCCACAACAGTATCAGCATTTCAATTAATTTATATAAAAATTATTATTTTTTTCACCATTTTGAGAACAGAAAAATGTGTCTCTACCTCTTTTTGCATTCATGTTTTATTAGAAATAATGGAAATTTAATTTGCAACACTTAACATTCCTTTAAGTCATACTTACACACAAAAGCCTATGGAATAATATGTTATAAGTTTCTAAATTAGGTTTTATTCATCATTTGAAAGCTCTGTTTACATTCATTACTCACAGATTTGCAGGGACCAGTCCTTTAAATATTTATTTCATTCCTAATTTATTTCCAGAAAATATAAATGGGTTATAAATACAGTTATTATTTTTTAATAGCAAGTATTAAGATATATAGATTTTTCAATATTCAGTATTATATAATAATCATTTGCAGTGAATGTAAATGAAAGTATATTACTCTCATCAGATAATTACTGAATGTAGATTGTGACTGATTCTGAGGATTTTTATTTTCGTATTTATATTGCAACAGCACCGAGAGACTTTTGCAACAAGTCCCAGGGAAAAAATAAGCTTACTGTCATGGTCATGCTGTCTGTCCAAACTGTGTTGATAAAGATCTTTTCGCATATGATAAAGATAGTATAAACTTGAAACAATTGTAAGAGAAGTAAATAAATGTGTTGACAACACTCAACGTGCCTGTGTGTGGCTTCACTTTTTGTATATTTTATTTTTTATATGTGGTTCACGGATCACAAATGTCGCACGGAGAGAGCTGAAATGCATTTGGTTCAGGTGTTCCAGTCCTGCCCGTCAATTAGCAGCAAGACAACCAGATCCAATCCAAAAGGTGCACCCATGCAGCAATATAGTTAATAAGTTAGCATAACAGACAGAGAGCAACATTAGCATTCATTTGTGTTTCTGGCCTGGGTCTTACGTTGAGTAATTATTTCACCACAGTTTTATTACCTTTGCCTAAAATCTATCTGTGATTTGAACTCAAGGGGGAGCTCTCTGCCCATTAAAAAAGTACTGACAGTACTACATTAACGCAGGAAAAAAAAATCTTACCAATAACAGCTGTACTTTTTCTGCTCAGACAAATTCAAATGTTAAACCTGTGAAAAAGGCCTACTTGGCTGCGTTTAGGAGCTGGTTTCTTTAGGGGATGTTTTACTTTTTGTGCGGTCTGAGCTCTGTTCTGTTCATTACAAACACACTGATACAGAGACTGATATATCCAGAGCTGAGTCTTGGGAAAATACTGTAGATTACAGTCAGTAAACAGGGGGTTTAACGCCTTGCTTAAGGACACCTGAAGAGAACATAAAGCTAAAGGAACACAAAAGCCAGGACACACTGTCTTGATTCATAAATATTTTATATACAAAATATTGTTACAAGTATATTCAACATATGTCACATTAGAATAATGATAACTACTTTACATACATTTGATCAATCTTCATATTTCACAGTACATACATGAAAAAGATCACAATTCTATACTTTGTATACAATAAATACATGCTCTGTTCATAGGCTTTTATTTTATTTTTTATACTTTACAAACTTACAGGTATTTTAAACAGTGCAAGAGTTCAGTTGTTTCTACAGCTGTGGCCACTGTAAAAGATCCCCCTTTTATGCCCTTATACCGTGCTGCAGACTAAATGTTTGTTAACTTTAATATGACAGAACCAAAGACAAAACTCTAAACTAGTTTCCAGACTACCTCATCTAAATTCTACCAAACAAATCCTCTTGAGGTTCGAGCCAAAGTGCAGCTAGTTTTGGCAAACGTGCAGTAAAAAGTGGGACATTTACAAAGGCCACATCTGTCTGTAAACAACACAAAATACGTGAAGAGAGCTCGTTGAACATGGCTCGCTGAACACTTGCGTTCCTTGGCACATAGTAAACAGACGAGAGAGTGGATCAAACCCAGTCACACTTCAATCAATGGAACAACCTGCATGTAGTCCAAGTTTGCAGTGCACCTAATGCAAAACACCAATCTGGTATTCAGAAACATATGACTGTGCATGCATGGCAAGGCTGTGGCGTCTCAAAGACTGTTATTCTCATCCAATTTAAAACTATAAAGATAGACAAAAAGAAATTCTTAGAGGTCCATTCTTGGTCCTCCATAAAGGTGTTCACACGATTTAAGCCCTGAAAACATGTTGTCAGCTTTTGGTTGTTTTAATTCAGAGCAGGTGGACAGGTAAACAGTGTTCACTCACAGTTTGACACTTGGCAAAAACAGAAGAGCTAAATTAAAAACCTCTGATGCAGCGGTTCTTCTCAGTGCAGATATATATACTTATCTGCACTTTGTTTGACAGGCCACAGTCCAGAGGTCAGTCATATACTACTATACCCATAATTCTTTGCTTATGAGAAAAATCAATGTCTTTTTACTTTACAAGTCAATGTTGTACAATCCATTCATGTTTAAAGTTTCCGTCCTACATTAGCTGGCCAGCTTTTTTAAGGCGGTGTAATGTTTGTCATCTTTTCTTTATTTTTGTTTTTATAACATTCATTCCCTTAGTGGCTACTGTATCCTGGCTATTTCTTCTTAGATGTAAGATACATCTGGTGCTACGGGTGTCAACTGGTGTGGATTAAAGGAAGTGACATGTGATGTGCCCGTTGTGTGTTGCATGTTGCACGAGCAACCCATGATCTTTCTAAAAAGCACCATAAGCTGTTTTATTTTTGTTCTTTTACTCAGGTTGGGGAATTATTGTTGGCTAATAAATTCCCAAATTCTTATTTTAAGTATGACATTTGTTCATTTTAATGTGTTATTTGTGACATTAATTAGCTGGTTAATGACTGGTTTTGGAAAACAGTACTGGATACCAGATTCAACAGTGGATCGATGTTGCAAGACATTTGTTAGCAGTTAAAAGGCCTCAAAGGCTCAAACAGTACAATAATCTGGGAATACTTCCTCCAACTCTCATCTCATGTCATAGTTACTTTCATTAAACAGTCTCTTAACAGCTGTCATAATTTCCTGTTCGGGTGCATTCAGTTTTAAAACTAAAGCCATGTTCACACACTGTCAGTTTTTTTGCTGTCAGGTAGACAGAGACACAAGTCCATTCATTCTTATGAATGGATGTTTGGTAAAAAGTTGTGGATCAGCTCTGAGGGCCAATAGATGACACATACATTTTTTTTTTATTTGCTACAGATGACCAAAATAGTCAGTCATTAGAATCAGAAGCTCAAGAGATGAGCCAAAACAATTTGTGACCACTGAGTTGGTGATTTTAACCCATACGTCACTTGATAGTGATGGTACTGGTGCTGATTATTGTTATTGTTTTTCAACACTCTGAGAGAGCATCTCCATCCAAAATGTACCTTTTGATTTAAATACATTTCTTTCTAACCATATCTATGGCCAATAGTCAACTTGCTTGTGTTTACTGTGTCTTGTGGGATCTCCTCCGTGTTGAATTTGATCAGGCAGAAGCTTTGATGATCTCTGTTTACTGAGAATGAAGATGACAGTGCTCATAAACACCAGACAAAGCTGTGAACAACGTGTAGCCCTGACTCTAAACCCTGACCATGATCCACGTCAGCTTCACATTTTCACCATTTCTGATTCACTGTCTCTGCTGCTCATCTGCCCTCCTCCACAGGACGAGTTTCAGATTTCAGCTTGACAAACTCCTTGGCCACCTCATCAGCAGGCCGCTGAGACAAGATACGCATCACCGTCATGCCCGTCTCGTCGGTTTGAATGCGCGGCCCCAGGGGACACCAGCACACGCAACTCTTGCGGTCAGCGACGTCACGCAGCTGTATCACAGCCATGCCGACCACCCGGTCCGCCCGGCCGAAACAGTAGTCCTTCACCGTCACCTGGAGCTCATAGCAGTCTGGGGACTCCTTGCCCAGGACACTACAGAGCAGAAAAGGAAATAAAAAATCAGCCACTAATTTATTGCGTCTCATACATTTGTAGCTCATTGGTAGGTGTAAGAGCTCAGGTTTCCAACTCACAACTGGAAAGACTCGTTGAACTTTGCCGACCAGCTGTTGTTCTTGGATTTTGTGGTGAACTTTCGCTTCTTGTCGGCGAGGAAGGGCCCAACCATGGAGACTTCAACAAAAGGCCGGAACATCCCCGATGTCTGCCACTTCATGTCGTTCGCTGCGATGACTGGATGGAGAGAAAACAGAAGGAGAGAGAGAGAGAGGGAGAGCACATAAGTGAGAAAAGGGAAAGTGTTGGGGATGGTACTGTTAGACTGTTGTCGCATGACTGTTTATTTTAACATATACAGCGTTCCAGTATGCAACTTATACAAGTGTGATGTAGAGACATCTTGTGTCCAGCAGGAAAACAACTTTTTTAATACTTTATACTTTATTGTGGAAAAAACTGACACACATTATTGTTCCAATCAGACTATTTGTATATATGTCTTAACAACATGTCTGGAGGGAATCCTTAACTTTTATTCATCAAGAGGAATATTTTTTTGATTGTTGGTGCTAAATTTGAGTCAGAAAGAAGAATTGGTTTAAATGTTCATCTTTGATCTTGGAAAATGTATCTTGTGATGAGACTGTCTTATGGATTTTGTTTTGTTGTTCTTGGTGTTGTTGCTGTCAGGTGTTAATCTCAAGGTTCAGATGACATATTCATACTCTTGGAAGTACCAACAGTGAAGAGTTTCTGCTAATAATTGCCTTCCCATGTGATGATGTGAAAGGGTTATAGATGACTTGTGCTTTGGACAATGGTTTGCAGTAAGGTGTAAACAACTAGTAGGTAAACTAAACACTCAAAACCACAAGTATGGTCGTTTAAAGGCTTAATTCAAGATTTGGTCCTGGATTTAAGCTCAATATTTGAATTGGAAAGAGATTAGATGTAGGATTTGAATTTAGGAGTCTCACCTCTGACATTGACTTTGCGTTCTTTCCCGAGCATCATGTCGACCTGCAGAAGAGCCTCTCCGATGTGTTTCTCTATCCCCGAGCCTGCAGAACACAGCCACCACACGCACATTAACATGATTAACAACGTCTTCAAAGCTTACTCTCATGTTTTTCTTTTATTCTTTATTAACATCTTGATCTTATTGCTGCAGTGACCCACTTTCTTATCTTACATTTCAGCTTTGGGCAAACTTGCAAAAAATGTGGTTTGTTACTACAGAGGGTGATGATGATAGTTTGAAAAGTGGGTAACATTAAAGACAGGACACCATATTTTATACTTTTGTAGTACATTTTTGATAAAGTGATAATTTTCTAATTTACAGCATAATTTAAAAACCGTACCAACACGAGTCATGTGCTCTGCTGCATCAGGGATGACGAGGAAATTCTACTCTTTATAAAATGACTTTTCAAGGCTGGCCTTGCCTTTGAAAACTCTGCAGCAGGCAATGCTTAAGAAATAGCTTGATGAGATTGAATCACATTACAGTTTTACACCTGTTGTCATTAACAAAGGAATCGTGTAAACTGGAACACTGTGCTTATTAGTTAATACAGCACCCTTTCGGTGACAGCTGATGTCCAAAAAGTACTTAATTTCATGAAACTCTCATATTTGAATGTTCCTCCACATTTAACTGAGGGTTTTTGTTTTTTTTTCTACAAGGAACCCCTAGAGGAAGCTCAATGGTTCCCAGTGTAACCCAAGAAACCCCTTATTTTAGAGTGTAGTGGACTTACCCCTGTCAGGGCGAATCTTCTCATTGCCAGTGATTCGGATGCCCATCCCATCATGCACTGAGTGGACAGGAAAGAGCAGAGAGGTTTAGGGAACTTTTTAGTCAGTCTGAACCACAAGAGGGACATACAACCACCGTAAAGCCTTTATACTGTACATGCAGTGTGTGTGTGTCTATGGTCACCTTGTGAGTGTTGTGTGGTGACAAAGGTCTTGATGAGAGCATCAGTGCTCTGGGAGTACAGGGAGAGGGCGTAACGCAGTGAGGCAAGTTCAGGACTTTTCTCAACGAATGCCTTCTTCAGCCCATTTCCTCCTGCATGGAAGTATTGCTGAAAGAAAAGAGAGCAGCAGGGTGAAGCTAAGAAATAAATCCTTTGCGGTAGGTAGAGTCCTTTATTAATACCAAAGGGAAGCTGCACTGTTACAGTTGCAAAATCACACATAGGAATCAGAAAAACAACATAAGGACATCCAAAGAAGTAGTTAAGAATGAAAACATTAAAACCTAAATCTTAAATAGAAACTAGACTAGTGTAAGTGTAGTATATACAGTACTGTATATTGTCTTGTATTCATATGGCAAGGTGCTTGACATAGATGGATGTTGAAAGTAACTGTGCAGCAAATCAATATACTGATAATATACAGTAAAGGAATGCATTTGGTAACAGAATAAAATGTTATATCATATGTTGAATATGTACATAAGTGTTATAATTTTTGTTTTTCTTCTTGTTCAAATTATTCCTATGTTTTCCTAATAAGACTGCATTTCATTCAATTGAATAACTAAAAGCATGAGTTTGAATTTTATTTTCTTATCAAATCAAAAAGTTGAAAAAAGTATTAAGCATGCAAGAAATGTTTTTAATTTTGACAAAATAGCTGTTAGAAGTCTGAGTTTGTCTTGACTAATGTTGTGTTTGGTGTTGGCTACCTGACATGAATGATTGGGAAGCTTTTCTTAACTTTCTATTACTATCTTTTACAATGCTTAACAATTGTCCAGTTCTTGACATGTAAACGTGCAGGTCTCCACCTACCTTGATTGTCTCCAGCCCTGCATCAACAATTATACACTGTTTGGGCGTCAAGGTTTTGGCTTCACCACCTCCCTACAGCAACCAGAGTTCACAGACTGATGTTAGACAACCTTTTCTCTCAAGAGGAACACTCAAAATAAATAAAAAATTAAAAACAAAAACAGAAAGTCATGAATCCAGGCCTTTCTTATTTAGCATAGTTTCTATATTTGTGGTCACTTATTTGTGCTCACTTGAATCCAGTTGTTTGGTAATAATCACATGAATACATTTAGCAGACCAATGATGATTATCAGTACATCTCAATGAGCGTGAACTTGAGCAGATCAGTGGATAAACACATACATTATTAGTGTCTTTCTTTAACTAACTGAATTGAATTGAATTGAATTCAATTTTATTTGTATAGCGCCAATTCATAACAGAAGTTATCTCAGGACACTTTTCAAATAGAGCAGGTTTAGACCGAACTCCTTATAACAAATAAAAATAAAATAATTGGGAAACATATTTCTGAGACTTCTACTGTGTGAGCAGCAGTTAGCGGTAAAGTGCTCAAAAGTTAATGCTGCGGGGAGGGGAAACAACTTTTTGGCTTTATGCAACCTCCTGCACGGTGTGTTAACAGGTAGCCACCAACGACTATTGAGGCCCATTTACAAGTGCTTTGAGGTGTGGTCTTCTAATAGCTACTACTGTAGATGCTGAAAAACTTAAACATCACCAAGAAACCCCTAAATTCTCCTTTGAGAGAAACTTTTTTCTACAAGAACTTCCATTTTGACTTTTGAATATTTTTGTGGCATTTTTAAAAATAATTTGTTTCCATTAATAAAGCTATTATGGCATACAAATGTGTGTATGGCAATGCTTGTTTGTTAGCATCCAGGCCCATCCATGTGACCCCATTCTCCGGCTTCAATAACTAACAGATGGTAACAAGTAGTAAACCAAAATCCCGGCTTTCAAGTGTCTTTTGACACAAAGCCTGAACGTGTTACCTTGAGGTTCGACAGTCCCTTGGCTGCTGTGAGGAGTTGTGCACCCTGCAGAGAGAGGAGGAAGAGGAGAGAGAAAGAGGTGGATAGGGAGGGATTATATTGAGACTTCATGTGACATTTTCATGCTTCACTGTGCGACACAATTCTCTGTATCATTTAACATGATTAACATATTCACAGAAGAATCTAACAGGTACAAACTTAGGTAAAGACCATTCCAACATTTTGCATAATAGAAACACTCCAGCTGACTTCCACCACTAGGTGGCAGCAGAGCACAGCTCCTGATCTCATTGGAGCTGAGATACAAGATACTACAATAATCCAACACTAGAAAACATAACATATACCGAACATATTCTATATATGCTACAGTACCTTTAACAACAACACAAACACATGGATGTTGAATGTGAATATAATCAAATGTGTGTATAAACTGTTGTTATTTGGCATACAATTTTAAGAGTTTTCAAAACAGTCCCTGTCTGCAGGTCCATTGCAACATGACACAAACTTTTATTTTTACTTTTAAGTTATTGAAGGGAAACTGATCTGAGAACAGACAAGATTTACTAAAACAGTCATCAATAAGTGTATCAATAGTGTATGTGATTTGTATAAATACTGTCTTTTAATAACTGTGTAACTGTTTGTGTGTTATCCTGTCTCCTTCACTGTCCTCTAATCACTCTCATCAGTATGTAAAGCTGGACCTTATCACTGACATTTCTGCAACAAAGGACATTTTTTCTTGTCCTCACTTCTTCAAAGGACTGAATGAAGGTTAAGAACTGATTTAAGGGGAACCCCACCACTTTTACACATTGTCTGTCTAAAGGTGTTGGGGAGTACTACTGCAAATGAAAAACAAGTTGTATAAAGCCTTTTGTGGCTCAAATGGGAGATGCACAAAGTCTGATAAATTGCCTCAGGTCGGACTTCAGTCAGTGTCTGTTGGAGCTGAAGAAAGTTTTAAAAAGAAAAATCTTGGGGTGTAGAGTTAGAAAGAGTTTATCAGACCTTTCTGTCGCCTGGTCCTCATATCTGCTTCAGGTTAGCAGCTCAAGGTTACATTAACTAGCATAACGCACCCAAATCTCCAACTGAACTGTCTGTGGCTGAGTTGCATTGTGGGTAGGCACCAGGTTTTGACAAGGAAGGAGAATGCGTGGAATAAAAAAGACGAGATTTCTGCTTCTCCTGCATGGATTTTGATTGTTTTTTTGTTTTGTTCTATTTTTTACTGTCCATAGTGAGTCCAATGATGTTACAGGAGTGCAATGCTAGATTGGTGGAGAACTCTTTTATGGTTAGAATTAGGTGAAGTTTAGGGTTAGGGTTGGAGTGAGGCGTTTAGTTGTGACGAATAGGGTGGTCCTTACCAGACTGTCGTTGCTCTGAGGCAGGACGATGGTCTTCTCCAGACTGCTCAGGACGATCTTCCAAAGGTCCTTCAGGATCCTCTTCAGCACCGTCTTCTCACAGATATCAGCAAATATACTGAGACTGGATCACACACAGACACCAAAGTTGTGAGCTAAAATGTGTTTGGTCCAACAGTCTTCATTCACAGTCGTAGTCATTGTAGAGGTAAAAAAAAAAAACCCTTGTTTTTGGTGGTTTTCTATCTATTTTGTGTTCATTGCTATATTGTGATTTTTGGTATGTTAATTCATTTTAGTAAATAAGATTAGCGGTGTCATAATCTACATTAAAGGTTAGAGACCCACTCATGCAGTCGTCTGCCAGGAGCTTACAACAAGAGCAACTGTGTGTGTCATGCTTTGACTTACTTCCCATCCAGAAACTCCATGAGGGGCCTCAGCATGGAGTCGGCATCTGCCTCTGCAGTGTTGTGGTTGGGTGGGCCTTTGATCTGATAGAGGATCTCAGCCATCTGACGCATGCAGCCGTTGATACGAGTCTGGAAACTGGAAGGAGACAAAGACAGAGACAAACTTAGTCGGAAACACTGCTGCAAGGCCATAGGACATATTGGAATGGGCGACTGTGTATGTGTCTGTGTGAGTGTGTGTGTGTGTGTGTGTGTGTGTGTGTGTGTGTGTGTGTGTGTGTGTGTGTGTGTGTGCGTGTGTGTGTGCGTGTTACCTCTTAGCAAATATGGTGCTGAAGTTGTCCAGGACTGTGCTGAGCTTCACCTGCAGGTCATTGAGGATGTCAGCAGCCTCTGTATCCAGCTACAACACATATATAAAGGAACAGGAGGAGAAAGGCGATAACAGGTCATTTAAAGCCTTTTACAACAGCCACTTGATTAAAATGTTGCATCTCAGGTGTCCAGTGCATCCAGTTTTATTAAAATTGTCCTTTTTGTTACTGTTTTAGCCCTCTTTTTCAATGTTTTTCAATGCATTATTACAATATCATTATTAAAAGATCATTTACTCATTAAAAATCTAAGCCTTAATACTATTCATTAAGTGTTATATCATATATACTAGGTCCAGGACCTTAACACTATTTGTTCACTCCTGAGGAGATTGCTTTTAATATGAATATAAACTTAAGAAAGTTTGCCTATATGCATTTTAAAAACGATCTTAATTGAGATTAAATGAAAAATAATATTAAACACAAGCGATATGTCAAATGTAAATAAATACAAGCATGTATGCACATGCAAAGACACAAGCAGGGACAGCAAAAATAGAGCAGCACCCTCATTTATCAACTGTGTTTAAGCTTAAAATTGGGCCAATGCTTATTTTCAGCTGTTTCAAGGGGATCATTCAACTGGTTGAAAAAGGATCTATTACATTTGGATAAAGTTGGTTTTAATTGAAATCACTGTAACTGTTAAGCAAATTAACATGTTTTGACAAACCACTTTGTAAAAAAGCCTGTTCATGCACGAGCAGATGGGTGTAGAACAGGTGGGATTCATCCTTGTTCACTGCATGCAGGTGTGTGTATGCATGTTTAATACCATAGTTCCTGTGCATAGGGACATGCTTTGATAAATGGGGCCAAAGGTCTATAAAGATATCAAGAACTGCAAATATGCTGTATGTATGGTTAACACTGACAGACTGGATAGAAAGACTTTGATTTGCTCTAGCAGGAGCACTGCTGCTACAATATGACACAGCTGTGTCCAGTGGACATTAGGAGGTTACAGTCCAACTTCACCGTTAACACTAAAAGGTGTTGTCTATGTTTATGGTGCTAGATCAAGTGATCATTTGGTGTTCTACTTACAATAAGAATAAACAACCAAAACAAACGAGTCTTTTCTGTGAGATCTATTTCTGTACTGTGAGTTGAACATTTTCCAACAACCTCGCATTGAAAAACCAAAATCAATATCAACATCTGGTTAGTTTCTCCTCAATGCATTTTTGGATGTTTGAGCTGAACTGTGCACACAGTGGAATGGTGGTTGAAAAGGGAAACATTGTACAGCAGATGTACAATGTCTAGTGCAGGAATACTTTTCAAGTGTGTATATGAGTAAGAGTGTGTAACACCTCATTCATTCTCAGTGTCAATGAGTTATGAAAGCAATGGGTGTATGAGTCAGAGACACACACAATGACTTACAGTATGGCCATATTTTGTGTGTGTGAATATGCTGCTGGATGACGGATATACAGTATACAGATCAGTAAACAGGAAAGAAATGCTGACTAAAATGCAAATTGCAAAGGTCGTGACTTAACAAGATTTCAGCTGAGAAGAGTTTGTAGATATAACGGGAGAAACGGAAGACAAGCTTATTCATGCCTCTTCAAACCCATTCAACCCATTCGTGTCTGAAAAGGGCGCTTCAAGCTATTAAGAGCACACTATTTACTCAAGCTCAAGCTCTATAAAAATATACCAGGAACCTTAAGTAAAAATCTTTTTACATTAAGTGGAACTTTGACAGCAGGAGGCTGTCACTCTATCCTCAGTGACCTCTTGAGAGTAAAAAGCTGAATCTGGTGAACAAAATGGGAAGCACAGTGAGGCTAATGTTCAAAGTAGAAATAAGGAGGAAGCTACTCAAGAAATTAATTCAAATTAACTGACTCTTAAACACTGAGGATTTTAAGGATTTCTTTTAGGCATTTTCAGTATCCAGTAGTATTTAAATTTGATCTGTGAAATGAAATGACATGGACTTCTAGGGTGAAAACATTACAAACTGGGAGTTTGCTAGTGGCATCTAGCTGTGTAGTAAGGTAACAAAAGGTAAGTTAACAAAAACACAACGATTCTTCTGCTTAGATGATTACACTACACTAAAAGACTAATGAAGTTAGTTTTGCATATTATAATCAATCTCTACCAACACACTGTCCTGCATGTTACATACTGAACCCTTGAGCTAAGAGGTCTGGCTCAGCTGCAGAGCACTCCTAGATCTGGCAGGCATTTGATGTTCTGCTGAAGTTTACTTCAGCACCTAAAGGCATTGGACGCAAGGGGCCCCCGGAAGTGGTTTTAGACAGCACAATCCAACTTCTGAGAGCAGATTTGTCAATTTTAATCTCTGATGACATCCAATATTCATGGGTCATCAATTATCCTCGTGGTTTTTTAATGGTTTGCATTTAGACTCAACTGCAGGTAAATACAAAGAAATGACAGCAACATCTTAAGTCCAATCTTTCTGCTTTAAAAGATCACACATTTCTAATACATGCCATGAATCCAGGAATTCAGAGAGGTAGAAAACATATCAAATTACAGTTTTGATGGCTCAACACACCAATATGTAATCAACCAGGATAAGTGAAAACACCTGTGTACCCTTTTTTAACCAAAATGAATTATTATGCTGCATTCATGCAAAATCAGCAGGAAAGGTAAGAACGGGAAAAACTCCTGTTTTAGAAATTCATGATAAGAAGCTGATGTGATCATCTTTTCCACTTGGCTGATTGTAATTACAATATGATGTGAACAAACATTTAATAATCAGTTTGTTACTATCAAGAAACTAAAGCTGCAATGTGCAGCTTTCAGTAGTCATGCAGCCTGTAGGATAAACTGGCCTTGAGGAGCCTGGTAACAGTGCCTCAATAAACCCGTAAAATACAGCCTGAGGCTTATTAGTATGCTGGACCTCAAGTATGCACCACATGTTATACCAGCCAAGTGGCTAGACGATTGCAAGATAAGGCATCCTAGAGTGTCTTTGTAGAAGGTATGCCATCGATAACTGTGTTATTAGATAGAGGGCGTTGGGCAAACTGCCATAACATATAATTGGACTAAAGAAGGGTTGTGACTTTCAAGTGACAGTGTTTTAGTATCTTGGAATTTAATTGGGAAATGTTGCAGTGAGAGGAATGAAAGGCTGGGTTGTCCACTCTGTCCCTTCAGACAAAGTCTGCTCTTGGTCTGAATCCAAAAATAAAATATACAGCTGTGTTTATGTGAACTGCAAGTGGCAAGCATAGTCAAACATCTTTATAGGCATTTGGAGGTGAGTGTGTATATGAGTGTGTGAGGTGTCCTTGAGAGATGAATGGAAATCAAGGATAAAATCCCCTCCAATATCAGACAAGAGGATGAATTACAATTTTGTATTTGGGATTCAAACCAGTCCCTCCAAGCAAATAGCTTGTGCTAGCTTTGTTGATAGCTAGCACTTTGCATACTGCTTTGTTATTGTTACAGTATCCATTAGATAATGTAATAATTTGTGTCAGGAGAGTTTGTTTCAATTACCATATAGGGTCTCTAACATCACAAATTAGTCAAATATAAATATCATTTATAATATAGATATGTGGCTTTTGTATTCATTCCCAGTGCTATGGATTTTAGTAGTACAGTTTCCAATCTCCCACCACTGTTACCATATAGAAACATAGTGTTTACTAGTTCAACACAGTAGGCCTATGTATATTTTACATCATATTCTATGTAGAAATATTATCTCCCGCATAAACTACCAGGTTTAGGTGTTTAACACGTAAACTTCAGAGGTACTAACAATGCTCAATTCAGTTGGTGTAATTCTTCAAGACTTTGAGAGAGATCGAAAGTGGATGACTAAGAAGAAGTGCTTTTAAGAACAAAAGGACACACACAGAAGCCTGGGAGGAGAGAGAAAGTGAATGACTGGAACAACTGCTTTTAAGAACAAAAGGACACACATAAGCCTTCATAAACACACTCCCCTCACTAGAATCACAGTCTGAAATTAGAAGTGTCCTTTGCAGGTAATAAATGTTTGTCCAACACTGTAATCTCTCTCTACCACCCAACTGTACCTTCTTTGTGGCAGCTGTGGCTTCAGTCTTTTCCGGAAAGACAGAAAGGAAAAAACAAGAAAAGACACAAAAGTAAAAAGAAAAAGAAACATCACACAGTACTGTGAAGGATATTGATGATTAAAACAAACTATAATATACACATACACAAGGTTGTACATTATGGTATAGAGCAGGTCAAAATAATATGAGGGTTTATTTTGGGTGTGTTTTTGATATTGTCTAGAGGATTGGGTAATGGTGAGTGGGTGATTTTAATAAAAGCTTTTGGTTTATTGGCCCTGGTTTATGCGATGCTACAAAACAAAGGGGAAAACTGACATCACCTTTAGACATGTCTCACTGCTGTCTGATATGACACTGCTGCACACGGACTTCATACCAAACAAGAATTATTTGGCAGACAATGAATCATCAGATACTTAGCTAATTGAAGTAGATGTTTTCTGTAACACTTAATACATTGCTGGCCCAAGCTAATTACAGCCCTATAGGTTATATGATATAGCTTTTACCAAAGCACACATTAAGACAAGAAGCTGCAACGTGAGTATCATTGTACATATACTCTACTGAGTACTTTGTGTACCTGAAAGAACAAAAAGAACACAGACTAGATGACAGGACGATCATCCCTTGCCCACTTCGGATTACACACAGTAGCCATATTGCACATGCACATGTGTAGTTAAACAATATGGCGTTAACAATATGGCGATTAACTGAACTCACTCAAAAATAATATAGTAAAACTTGTGCAAACATAAAAACACAGGTCTATAAGACTGAGTCTACTGTCTTACTACCTGCAGTATTAATATTGTACATAAGCCTAACTGTAACACAAGGATTTCTACTGTACCATACCTAACTGGATAATAGTCTAAACTCAGGAGTTGCCTTTAAGAGGTGGATCGGAGGGAAAAGCTCAAAGGAAAAAACAAGATGACTGTGCAAACAAACCTTGTTTACTTCCTCCTTTGACTGGTAAGGAAAAAACAAAATAAAACATTAGACAGCTGTCCTCTACAGTCATGTTTTTCACCTTTGTCAGCATTATCCCTGCAAATACAAAATATTCTAAGGGAAATGATAAGCCAACAATTCTATGGTGAAAGAGCTTAAATAAAATTTGACAAACACAGAAACAAAATGAAATGACTAAGCTCAAAGAAAAAAGCTTCATTCTAGAGAAAAAAAAAACCTTGAATTTAATCAAGTGGTGCTGCCTCTGCTGAAGGTCAACTCAAGTGCTTTGGCAAATGGAAATGATTCTTTGAATTGGATTCTGGGAAATATCTGAGTCAACAGGGGCAGCAGACAGAGAATGGAAGTATTGACTCGGTCAGGTCCTCTGCTTTATTAGGCTTCATGCTCATTCTAAGGCCCAAATACACACCATGAGTGTGTGCAGTACATACAGACAGTGTGTCAACAGTTAATACATGTGTTACACCACACCAACGCCAGTGAAAACTATGAGCAGAATAGTCACTCATACATTCTCTCATTGAGCTCACTTTAAGTTAACGATATAAAAGTGAAATTAAAACATTCCCAATTTTTCTGGGGATCCCCTGGAACCCCCTCAAGGACCCCTGGGGATCCCCAGACCCCAGATTAAGAACCAAGTCAAAGCTTCTGTTACTTTTTAACATACTGATGTCAAGCTTCCTTCTCTATGTTTGACAGTGTTTTCAACAATTATTCAGGACATCACAAGCAATCATTAGACCTTATGTAAGTTTACAGGAAATCAGTACAAATTATGAATACAGGAAAAAGTTGAGCCACTGAAGCTTTACAAAGTTTTACAAATCCCTATTTGTACTCGTCTGCACTGGTTGATCACAATAGGGAGGATGATTATCTGCATTTCACAATAAGCACCCACCTGTTTGCTCTTATTGTCCTCCTTGGGGCAGAGACAAGAAATGAAATGTTTTTTAAAAAAAAGAAAAGCAAACACCATTCATCTCTTTTTCTTGCAAACAAACCCCTTCCATTAAGCTAGCTTTAAAAAAATGTAATTGAAATTATGATGTGTGATGAAGTCAATCAATGATTGCAGTAAAACTACACTAAAATATCAGAGGTTCAGGGAATATTACACAGGAAGGAAAGCAAATCTGAATAGTTTTAGAGAAAGCGAACAGATATTAGAAAAGCTGAACTGACAGGAAGAGGAGGTGAAAGCCAGAGTGATTACAAACAAACCAACCTGCTTCTCTTTGTCTTTCTTTTCAGCCTGCAAGGACACACATTTGTGAGTGAGCTACGCTTAGATGCTAGAATCACTAGTATAAACACAGGCTCACATAACGACATTCACACACACACACACCCAACACACACACACACACACACACACACACACACACACACACACACACACACACACACACACACACACTCTTTTTGGCACTTTTATTAGGTTCACCTTCCCTTTTAGCCTCTAGTCCCCCCAGACAGTGACTCACATATTAATAAAGGTTATTGTTGCTTCAGGTGAGACCCTCATAGGTCCAGTTTAGCTGATTCTCAAGTTTTATATCCAGCTTGGAGGTTCCCACCCACCTCTGAGGGGTGATAAAAAAAACTTAGCTAAAAACAAGCCTTGACATTTAAAGGGTACAAGGTGCTTCTCTGCATAAAGCACACACAGGATTTACACTTCCAGATAGTGTCCGGATAAACATAATCAGACAAAATACGTAATTTCAACCACTTTGAACCGCATTAGGGTCATTAACACCAGTCGACCCCCAAAAATTTTAACAAACTTAAATGTCTAGAGCTTTTTAGAGCCTCCTAACCATCACCAAATCATTTCACTAATGACTTGCGCCCACTGTGCCTGAAGGTGTGTTAATGTGAAAACAGCTGAAAGGAAAACACATAATTGGACCCCACTAGTGGAGTTGACTGAAAAACAACTTATTGATGAGTGACAATTTACACTTTGGCCTCATGTTGTCAGAGATGAAGGCAAATATATCTGTCCATCCCTCACCATCCCTCTGTCAGACTGTACTGGTTATTTCAGGACAAGTAGAAACTACAATTGAGCCTGGTAACTATAAAGAGCACTTTTTAACAGTGTTTTTCTGTACTTTTCTCCTTTCTTTTTTCCAATTTTGAACAGCTAGTACCTCTCACAATGGGGTCTTTGTAATTACTAAGTGTCTTTTGGAGGAGGAAGCACACAAGCTCCTGCCTCCTCCAGTTCACTTATGTAATGTAACTACAGATTTTGGATCCCATCGTGTACAAATTTCCAGCCCATCCAAAGTTTTTTCTTGACTTGACTTGAAGTTAAAATTAAGGTAAATTATTTTGGGTGAACCTGCAATAACAGTTCTTTTTTCTGGCCACTTGGGTGCAGCAGTAATAAGTTATAAACACAGCATAGGCATAACGTCAGCTTTTTTTTTTGCTGATATGGCAAACTTGTTAAATGTTGGTTATTTACACATCCAACAGTTATGGCCACCTGATGAATGTAATATTCACTCTCTTTTAGCTCTATCTTTGGTCTCCAGCAAGTCCTAAGGGAAATATCTTTAGCTTCTACATGCTCTACTATGTTCACCAGCAAGTCTCTAACTGTGTCTGTCTGCTGTTAGATGCTGAGCAGGTAGTGTACAGTTTGGTTTTAGAGCCTTTTCTCTGAAAACAGCTGCCTATTGTGGGCGAAAACAACAACAGTGTGGTGAGAGTGAAACAAAACATTAAAGTTGTGGGCTGAACAGCTAAACAATGGGGTGAAACTCTCTATAAAGCCCTGTAAAGCCATGGTGAGACTCAGGTAATAATTCTATGTAGGTTCAGCACTATGAGCAACACCTTTCACCACATTGTTTTCACATTATCATTCCATACATTCATACATACACCACACATCTCCAAATGCTTAAACACACCTTCTCCTTCTTGGACTGAGACTAGGAAGATGTGAAAACAGGAAAGAAGAAAAAGAAAAAGACAAATGACATAAAAGTCAATAAAAGAAAAAGAAATACAACATAACATTTATAATTTAGTATGAAAGGGTACACAAGGGTCCTGGACTGATGGCTCACCTTTTCCTTATCAAGCTTTTTCACAAAAAAGGAATGAAACAAAGACATATTAAGAGAGAAAAAGACAGAAAACAACAAATACAAGACATGAGAAAGACAATAAGGGAATGGTAATGTTTGATAACGGAAACAAATTGTGGAAACATGAACACATGCAGCATACCTTCTCACACACACACACACACACACACACACACACACACACACACACACACACACACACACTCAATCTTAGTTGAATGAGTGAATGGAGCATCTAATCAACCACATGTGAATATTTCAGTCAACTCTGATATGACAGGCAGCAGGAGAGGAGAGGTTGATTATGGAAATGTTGGAGGAACCTAAAGAAAGCTAACCTTCTCCTGCTCCTCCTCACTGTCATCATAGTCTGAGGACCCATCCTACAGGAGGACATATGGTAAACAACTGCTTGACAAACTAAAACATCCTAGACTAAAATTCACCAAAGTAATGTGTCAAATAAGTATTGGTAAGTAACCAATATAACCAGCTCTAATTTATCAAGACTAAGTTTTAGGAGAAAAGATCTGCACAGTGAAGAATATTAAAGCTCAATATTCCACTACATGTTTCTAGTGTGTCTTCCAGTCCGCTCACGACAGTCGTGAGTTCTCTGTGAGAGCTCAGCATTTTTCTTATTAGTGCCTAAAGGTAAAAATATCTCAAGTTTTTGTTCCCCACTTCAACCAGATTTTCAATCTTCTCAGAGTAATAGCAGGAGCCACATAGCACCCAGCACTTTGCGGGAACATCTTTTTAGTGCTGCTTGCTGTAAAAAGAGATGTCTGGTGGAAACAGATATTTAATGTTACAGCAAGATCCCAATCTACATTTTCATCAAGCGACAAATGTTGGACTTTTTCCATTAGCAGATTGGGATTCAGAGAACAGTAACAGAACGCAAGGATGACGGCCAGGCCATTTGATTTAAACCAATTACGTTGTTGTCTTCAAGTCAGGGCCAATACAACACCCACAGTTTCACCTGTGATGTTGCTGTAATAAATCGACTTGATATGCTGCCAATATTCTACACAAAATCAGTGACTTTAGCTGCAACAGGCAATACATCAGTGCAAAGTACAAAATGAAACAAGAATGTATCACCTACAAACAGAAACTCTTTATATTCACCTTAATAGAAGTTAAGTTTTTAACCAGTTTCATCTAGGCATTTGGGGTCTAGTTCACACATTACGGCACAGCACACAAAACACAATGTCCTGGTTGCACAAAGGTCTCATTTCAAACACAACGACAAACCGTCACTGGGCCTGACCAACCAACCTTTTTCTCCTTCTCTTTGTTGTCAACCTAAGGGCAGACGGGCCAATTCAAGAAAGGAGAGGACAGGGCAGATAGAAAAGGACAGGAGAAGCAGCACGGCATTAGCAATCAGGCCTTTTTGCTAAAATAATTATGTTATATTTATATTAAAATACAATATATCTAAGAACTTAATCAACAATAAACAGCAGTATGACACAGAAAGACTGCAGGAAACTCTAATGATTCCCTGCAATGTGACTGTGTAAACAAGTTTGTCCTCATGGCCTGATTAATACTGTAGTATACCCTAGGACTTTCATTGACATCATGAATTCCCTACCCTCTAACTTTAACCATTGCAACCACATAACCTTTAATATAATGTTAACCTAAACCTCTGACCTTTACCCTAACCACCATTCTCTATTCATCATTTCCATCAAATGCATAGAAGCAGCCATTCGTCTACACGTCTACATAAAAGGAATCCAAACACCATCACCCAATACGCATCATAAGATTATAAGGTTTCTATGCAGATGATGTATTGATGTTTCTACAAAATCCTCCCTAATCACTACAATAAAATAATTGACAATATATATAATGGACAAAGCTAAGTTTGCTAAAGAGTTTATGGTCTCAATTGCTAGTGTCAAGTCTTCCATACATTATGATGTTCATTTAGTAAATTATAGTCTGATTTAGAGTAAAATAGAAGATAAAGCAGCGTATGCTTTTGGGTGTGGCTACCTTAAGATTGACAAGTCACTCTCAGTGAGTCCGTCCAGCGCACTGCATGAAACTCAGGTCAAACTGTCAAACTAGGCAGCGCTGATCAAATACAAAGCAAGATTACAGCGTTGCCTATTTCTCACCTAAAACCGCTTCAGAAACACATTTTAGTGTACTGTTTAGCATTAATACGAGATTGTGTGTGACCAGGCGAGCCGCCATTGTTTCCTACTATGGACAAGTTGAAACTTCGCTGCCACTAGCTCCGTCTGACTCTCATGGTGACGGCCAAAACACAAATTTTGAGGCTTGAATATGGTACCACAGCTCCTTTATGAAGATAGTCTTCAAGGAATGATAAATCAAAACAACACTTGCCATTTCCATTTTTCAATTAGCACATGAGAAGAGCATCAATTAGGGAGCGCAAGGTTTAAAATGATTAATCGTCAGGTTCAATTAAATTGGCCTGAGTACTGGAGATAACTTTTTACACATGCTTAAACGCTTGCTGGCACACAACTGCTTTCAGACCAATTTTCATAGCAAAATACACACATATCGTATATATATATACATATAATGTCAGACACAAAATATCCTCTCCTGCAGATGCCCCAATTATAACAAAGAAGCAACACATTTAGCTTGTATCTTCACCATAACATCCCATTTAGCATCTGTTAAGATAACAGCAACTTTAGCCATTAACCAGCACAGCTGAGAAACCCTACTTTGCCCTTCTTCACCCTCTGCTACAAATCAGATTTTCCCCATCCTCTCTAACATCCCAGACCCCCCACAGTCAGCTGACAAACTAAACCATTTCAAGAAGCCATTTAGTGGCAGCTAAATACAAATTTTTATGCACTATCAAATTCAATTATCCGGCAGCCCACTGTCTAGTCTATTAAGCACTCACGAGAGGAGGGAGGCTGTGTTAGTGCCCAGTTGTAAATGTGTTAAGAGCTTTGCTAGCATGGTACCAGAGGCTTTATGGAGGTTCTGGCATCAGGGATATGGACGAATTTATCAACTGTGCTTAAGGAGAAACAGATGGGGAGTTCAAAGGGGTAACAGTCACTTGATATTAGGTAATATATATATATATAATATTAAAAATATATTTAAAATGTTCTTTTATTTTGTTTCTCATAAAGCAGAAAAATAATACAACCAAAGTTTTAAACCTCAAGCCATGAAATAGATGGTCTTGATTCTGAGGGGGTTTTTTTTTCATCACGTTTCCCTCCAAATCGAGTTGCTGTAACCAATTACCTGGTCCTAGGTTGAAAGTTCCCAAAAATGTATTTCCTAGGTTTCTAGCTATGATCAATGGGGTCCTACATACAGAACTGAATTCTAAATCTATTTAAGTGTTATGTGTTCTGAATTTTTGTTTTTGTGTGTTCTCTCCTTCCTGGTTTGAAGAGGGCGGGTCTCAGTTTGAAAAGGTCATGTCACCTGTAGTACCATGGTTCCATGCACCAATTTGACCAATCAAACCACTTTGATAACAATTGTGTGCTTGTTTCAAGGCCCCTGTCAATGAAATAACCCACACAGAGTTAAAGAAGCAGATTAGTGAGTTTTTGAGTGTTAATATCTTGGGAGTTTTTGCTTATTTAGTCATTAATATTTAATTCTATTAAGAAATAGTTAAATTAAAAATGTGTTTTCAGGGGTTTTAAATCAAGTTCATATCTGTACCTTCATTCCATATCACACTGGACAACTGGAGATGGAATTTTAAAATGTTTGATTTCCTATGATTATCTGTCCATGTACAATCATTTATGACATTTTGTATTGTGCTCTGTTGTAAGGAGTTTTAAAGTCTTCTTTGTGTGATTGTGACCAAATAAATCTTGACCGGGAAAGTAAATGATTTGCCGTTTTCCCTCCCTTCACATCTACATTTATTGTTGTAAAAACGCTTTAAAAGGACACAACAACACAGTGTGTTTCAACATAATTTGCAGATGTTGCTGCTATCCACTCAAACAATCAGTATTCACTAAATCAGACGCTAATGTATGATAATGAAGCATTCATGATACAGTTGTACATTTCTGCTTGCCTCAAGTCCAAAATGACTTCAAATGACAATGACTGTAATCATTTTGATTACAAATAATAAAAATATGACTACTGCCAGAGTGCAAGATAACCTCTAATTCTACAAAGATGTTCAATGACCAACAAAATGAATACATGTTAAAAAGTTGTGAAATCTCCAGTTTCTTCCTCCCTTACAAATATTCAGATTAATATGATATAAAATGTCTAAGTTCACAGGGAAATGGTGGATTTTTGCTTTGGTCGTCAGTTTTTCCTTCCTTAATTTCTTCTTACCTCAGATCCCTCTGAGTCTGAGCAACCAGACTGGTGGTGAAATGGAAAACAATAAGAAAAGAAAATGAGACAAAAATAATTACAAGATTTAAGGATTTGTACTGAATAATAAACTGGTCAGAATGACCTACAATGCACCCTCTCACCTTAGACTCCTCTGACTGGTAGCCATAAAAATGTACCCAATCCCCCCAAACAAATGACAATTATTTTAAAATATAAAGACAAGACGAATTAGAAAAAAAATGAAAGTGACTTTTGTTTTTTTTATTGGCAGCTTTTGCTGATGCAGCCTACCCACCATGTCATCCTCCCCTTCATTGTCACTGATGGCCTGGTGGAGATGGTACGGAAATAAAAACAAACAAATGATATAAAATGTAGGACAAAGAAAATGTGATTATAAAAAATGTAAAGAAAAGGAGACAGTCTAAGATTCGGTCTTAGAGTCGGTCTCAGATTATTCCGGTGTCCACTGAAACACTAAATGAGACACTAATTTATGAAAATTATAATTCTACTAGCCACAAGCAAAACCTCCAGCAGGGACACCCCTGTTCTCATGCTTCTGTGTATTTTTGTTTTGGGGCTGTGTTTTATAGGCTAGGGCTCTTAAAGTACAATAAAAGCAAAATCTTAATGTGACAGCATAAAGTTATATTTTAGGCAATCATGTGCAAATGTCTGGACATTTGGTCATAGCAGGAAAAACACAGGTGTAGCCAATAACATGCTGGCAGACAACATACACAATAAGGGCCCAACTGGACAACAGCCATGATCCATGTTATTAGGTACACCTGTGTGTGACAACCAGTATAAAAACACTAAAAAGTAATTTTATCCAAACAGAACAAGGAGGTATGAGGTTGCTGACCCACCTCCTCATCAAACTCCTCAGGTTCCTCCTCGTTCTCAAGCTTTTGGAAAGAAGCAGCACCGCAGTAAAAAGCACAGTGTTTTTTTACATACATTATATTAGGCTGAAAATAAAAACCAATGTCTATTTCTGGGAGTGAAACTTGGAGTCTAGGTAGGAAGAGGGAGAAGAGGAGGAGGATAAGGAGGAGGATAAAGAGTTGGTCTCTTGTTTATCAGTAAATTGGGGTCAACCTAAAAATAGACACGCATACTACTGGGTAAAAAGAGGTTTGACAGTTGGCAAGAAGTTCAGGGTGGGTTTTTGCTTTAATGAACTTGTTCATTTTGGATGTTTGTGTGCCAGGAGCAACACAGGAAAGGGGAGCGAGGGCAAAAAAGAAACCTAGACATACCCTCTCCTCCTCAGCAGTTAACTGTAGAGAGAAAGACACACACGCACACACTCAATCTCATGTTAAATTAAATGAACTTGCTGCCTTTGTATGCAAATGCACACATTAAAGTTTCACTTTGTTTCTGAACACCTGCTGTACCTTTTGCACCTTCATCTGCAAACAAATGACTAAAACAACATGAGCTATTAATATTGAGCTTTCTCCACAATTGATATTCTAAAAATATATCAGCAAGGTTATTTTACATTCAAGCTAGACTGAATAGTGATGTGAATGTCGCAGGAGAAATAGGAGATAGGGAACTCATAAGTACATACAAATACATACAGTGCTGTTTATTTATTCCCACACAAAATATAGTGCTCTCAACTGCATTTTAGTTATGTTTTCCACATTTGCACATGAAAGGTTACAAAACCCCATTATTCTTATTTTTCTTCTTTAAAGTTATGTTCTTCTTTTAAAGCTTTGAAATATGTCAACTGACAAATATAAGTCCACAAAGACACAGATCAAAAAGATACCTGCATGCATATAAAGTCTGCTTCTTCTCCTGGTAGCAGCCAATGAACCCAAATACAGATAAAATGGTTCCATTACAGTAATTAGGTCACACCTGAAGGACGATGAGTTGACCCAAATAGGTTTGTCTGGAACATACCAATACTACCAGGACAAAAAGGGCTGACAAGAATCTTAATCTGTTTCCTGTCTGTGAGATATTTGGCTGGAGCTTTTCTCAGCACCATTTAATAAGAACTGTCTATGGCGTGGATGCCTCTGGAAAGCCATCTCTGGCATGCGATCGGCAGAGAAAAAAATGTGTGATTTAACTCCATATTTTACTTCCAACAATGCATGATTTTTTTGTGTGCAGCCTCTAAGATCTGTTTCCTTTCATTTGTTAGGTGTAGGGGTGAAAACCAAAACATACACAGTGACAACGACAATGTAGAAAAACACTAGTTTCCCAAACTGATTTCCAAATCAGTGCATTTTGCTCTATTATACATATTGTTAAATCTTTGTCTTTTATGATCTCTGCAGAGGCAACATCTTTGCCATACATTGCTCCATTTGCCATTGCTTGAATACAGTTTGAACAGACTGAAGTCTCACTTTTCAAAATATACTCCGGGCTGGTAAAATCTTTCTGGTCAACCCGAGTTTGTCTGAGTCACCCACGTTAAACTACCCTGTTTTGTCTTCACAACACAATTTCCTACAAGTTTGATGGGGAAAGCCATGTTAAAACACCTTGTGAATAAGAATATTACAGTGAAAAATGGAAGTTTTCAGTCTTGTACTGTAAAGAACCCCAAAACACATTTATTTCAGTATATATTTCAATATTTGGACTTGAACCGCAGAGAAAGACCTCATTAGTGAAATCAGTGGCAGCAGGTTGAAATGCAAAACTCTCGTCTCAGTGGCAGATGATTAAAAACCAAAGGTGCAGGTCAAGTGTTAGGTGTGTGTGTGTGTGTGTGTGTGCGTGTGTACATCTGTTAATGCTCACCTGTTTTGCTCCCATTGACTCAAACATCTTCTCCAACAGGACCCTCATCTGCTGGATGTTGTTCATCAGCACACAGGGCTGCAGGAAGATAGATGAGGGAGACAACAGGTGCAAGTGGACAAGAGAAAACGCAATGAGGGAGACAGAAAGTCAAGTATAGAAGGAAAAGTCAATAAAGTCAAAGAAAGTAAAAATACAAATGAATGAGTCAGTAAAGGAAAAAAGGAGATGACAGGAAGATGAAAGAGCCAGATAAAGAGAAAACAACAGAGATAGAGGTTAAAGAGTTACGAAAGTGGGCAGCAGCAACTAAAATATTAATCCACTCCACAGAGACTGCACTAGCTTTCAAAGTGCTTGGTCTCTCTTTAAATCAGAGATGAGCTCAAGAGTGAAGTGGTTTGGTAGCAGAGTGGTGACGCAGCAGTACTCACTATCTTCTCCTTCTCACAGTAGGAGGGAAAGCTCTTGGACAGCAGGGCACAGTACTGCAGCAGCACTTTGGTGATCGTCTGTGGAAACAAGATAACACACACGTAGGACATGTTTACTGTGGGAACTTCTGAAGTAGTGAATCTGAACACTGGTGTTTACTCCTTCAGTTTGATTTGTCTGGTCAGGTCAGGACACTGCTGTTTGAACTGAGGAGGAGTCAAATATTCACTCTGTGATGACTGAAAATGTGCGTCTCTGTCTTTTTGCTAAAAGCTGTAGGCAAAGGTGTTTGTTGTAAGGGAAGATGTCCGTAATCAAATGGTTTGTTACAACATCAGTCTCAAGTCACATCTCAAGTCCTTTGGGGTAAGTCCAGGGTGCATGCCCTGGTAGCTCACTTGCTTGAGTGTGTGCCCCATGTAGTAAGGCTGAGTCCTTACTGCAGCGGCATGTCGTCTCCCCTCCACACTTTCCTGTCACTCTTCAGCTGTTCTATCAAATAAAGGCAATAAAAAGTCTAGGCCTAATAATGAAATATGTAAGTTGCGATGTGGCTGGGCAAGGCATGTCTGACTCTTAGGACTTGAATGTTTGATGCCTGATGTTTTGTCTACATGTATATGGATATTTTTGAAAACTGATTAAAACCCCTCTTTTACAAAATATCTAACTTAGTAACTTCTACCAAAGTATGCAAAGGGCCTACGCAAATCAAACAAATTAGTCTTTTGGTAGCCAAATCCAGTATGTTTAGCTAGAGAGTTACAAGGGATAAAACTGGATTTGTTGGGAGTGACAAAGTGACAGGTTGGTACCACAGTAATGCTGCCTGATCACAGAAAGCACTGAGCTTTATGTGTTCACTGATTTGGCAACATCTATTAGGTGTTATGTGCTAATTCTTGTTTTTGAAATGACCCTCCTGCCAATCACAGACTGTAGGCGGCACTCAAGGGACATGTTTTTCATTGGATCTCTCTTGATCATCAGTTCTTCTCTAGTCTTCTTAGCTTATTCAGCCATGGTGGCTATAAGCTCTCACACGCAACAAGCCAATTCTGTTATCTTATTTAAACAAAGCACTGTTCTTGTTGCCAGGAGAATAAAACTCATCCAAAACCCTTCACTGCTTTACTTTTCACTCTTTGTATCAAATTTGATACTGAGTTGCCAGTTTAGAAGGCAAACATCTTCCTGCCCATAGTTATCAAATGAAAGACATGGTTACTATATGATGTCCCACAGCTTTATACAGATTTAGAGCTGGTTGCAGTGATGTACTGTGCATTGATCCACTGCACCAATAAAAAAAATGCAGGTTTCAAAACATTCCAAAAAAGTAGTTGCAAATGTAAAGAAGGAAATCCATCTGTCATGTTTGTTAGGCCTTAAGGATAAACACAATGCCCTATGGGGAGAAACGATGAATGTTTGTTATGTTTGTTTACAATAAAAACTCCACAGGGTACTGAAATAATTCAGTGAGTTAATTTATTGGTCAACATGACAAGAACTGTGCTTATTGCCTCACAGCGTCTTGGGCTCACTGTGAGAGATTTCCCTTCTTTCCGCTGAGTCAGCCAGATGCCCTCTTACACTCATGCATTAAACATGTGGCCTGATAGCTGCCTGCATTGCTTGGTTTCCTCTTGCTGTATTTTACCCTTTTCTGCTGCTGTCTTGGTCTATACTGTCATGTAACACTTTTCCAAAATGAACTATAACTGTGCTGGCCTGGAGCCAGCAGAGAAAGAGGAGAAAAGGCAAGATATACAAAGAATAAGGAACTGCAGGGTGACAAAGAGGCGATAAAGAGGCAAAAAAGAGAAAGAATGGACGATATATGAATAGAAGATAGAAATAGGGCAAGTTTGGATGGAAAAAACTCTGAGGACAAAGAAAAGACAAGATGGCGAGTCCATTGAGGATTAAGACAAAAGGATGGTAGACAAACTAAACCTAAGACAGGGAAGAGATGAAAAGGTAGAGAGAGAGAAAGAGAGAGCGAGAGAGAGAGATTAGCATGAGTTGAGTGGCAGAAAATGAAAAGGGAGTCAAGGGTTGGGGACAGGGAGCTGGACAGCTCAGAGTGATGTCTTACATTAGCCATTCTTTATTTAATGAGTCCTATATTGATCGAGCCATAACACCACCCACACACACAAATATAAGTGCACACAATTCTTCTACAGAGAAAGGTTTGTTAGATTTAATGGCCATGCCTAAAAGCAACTGCAATTAAATTTTGAGAAAAAAATATGATAAAGGTTCAATAACAAAACACAAAACATTACACTGTATACATTTTGCAAACAAATACCTGAAACTCATCAGTCAATATCTCAAAATGGGTCGAATAAGGAAGAGTTGAGTGGTAAAGCTCTTAAGATGACTCACAATTTAAAGCACACCAGGAAGCATTTCTGATGTGACTCATCTGTGCCTCAGTGATGAATGGGAATTATGAAAAACCCACTCAACCCACTCTTATTAAGCAACCAGTATGTTTATGCAGGAATGAATGAAGGAATTGTAACTTTGTCTCCGACACACAAGAAAGTTAGTAAAGCTCAAACTTACAAACACTGGCTGAACGTCTGAAAACCTTCCCTCTAATCATCTAAAAAGAATGTCTAGAGAAGGTGAAAGTTTACTGAACTCATGTTACCAGGTGGGAACCTGTGGACAAACTACCTCACTGGGAAAAGTTCACTTTATACCCAAGAAATAATCCCAATAACAACAGTTTCCAATGTCAAAAAGACATTCAAACATTCATCTGAAGAAACGGCCAAATATAACCAAAACTATCTGCATGGATAATGTACATACCACTAGATTCAATAGAGAATATATGACCTGATCTACCAACAGCACTTTTTTGCAAGAGAGAGCACAGCTTTTTTACAGCTTTTTTAATGTATATGTGCGTCTGCTTATGTTCATGTTTGTGTAGCAGCCTGCATCTCACCTTGGCGAAGCGTCGGTTGTAATGGCCTACCACAGTGGGGTCGGGGCAGTCCAGTTTCTTGATGATCTCAAAGCTCTGATTGAGCTGAGTGAAGATGTCCACCACCGAGCTGGAGAAAAGAGCGTGCTCAGAAGTCTGCTGGAACTGCAGGCGGAGGGACAAGAAGACAAATGTTAGAGCACTAGTGGTCTCCTTTTTTAATCAAAACAGCAAAGTCTCTCTCCATTATCAGTCTGCTTCTTCAAAAATTACTGTTCCTCCTTACTGACTCATACATCCTCTCCTTCTCTACTTTCCTGTAATCAAACAGTAACTCCACTCTTTCTCTTTTCCTAGCTACTGTATCTGTTCTTGTGTAATTACTCCACAGATTTCAGGGCAGTCGGACCATTACAATCATTATCATTCACTTGAAATGTTGGTCCTGGTCTGGCAATAGAGGGATTATTGAACTGTTGCACATATCATGCTCCTGCTGATAAATTCATCAGCTAAATTGCAAATGGAAATGGTAAATGGTGCCCAGAGGCTTGGTGTGGTAGTTTGTGGTAGTCAAAAGAACCATGCCACATATTTCCCAAGTGACTGCGTCCTGCTGATGTATCCTGTGGTCTGTCTCTCTTACTCTTAGAAACCTACAGTGTATGGATCCATAACTGTTTCTTTAAGAGCCAAAGGGGGCCGATAAGCACTTAACATTTCCTCAATAAAAACTAATTTTAAACTAATGGAGTTAAAGAGTTGTGCCATCAGGCTACTTAAGAGAGTAAAGAGGTAGATATGTATGCTGAGTAACATAATATAGCGTATTCTCTATTAGCCAATATACAGATAATCGACTCGAGTCTGCTGCTACACTCACATCAACGATGTACGTATTAGACATTTATTTATTCATTTTTATGTGAGTTCGCTTACTTATCTCCAACAACTTTAACTTTAAACATACTGCACTCGTTTAAAAAAGAGAGAAAGAGATAGAGGGAGTGTGTGCGAGCATGGACAGAAGTGTAGACATGATGCAAAAACGTTCTAAGCGCAATGTTACTCTACAGTTCTCTGGTTTATTAGTTAAGTCAGTGGTCAGCAACTTGTCTTGGTGGTGAAAGCAAACAAATCTGTCCATGCATTATATTTTCTTTCTTTTTTGGATTAGGAATCTCGTCAAAATATATATTGTCCAGGTCAGGATGTAATGTATGACGCACATTTTTTTACATTTTAATATTTTACCGATTTTTACAATATGAGAAAGTAAGAATCCCGATAACAATGATACATGAAAATGTCACTTCCAAAAAATTTTTCAAAGCCACAAGGAGCCATTGGAGAGGAGCCAAAGAGCTGCATGCTGCTCCGGAGCCACAGGTTGCCTACCCCTGAGTTAGGTGTATGAAGTGCACTGCAGACTGGATTCTGTACTAACGGTGACAAACAGGCTCATAAACTCATATCAACGCAGGTTGAATGTGTATCGGTGGAGGTCCGCCTTATATACATCTTGTGTCTGACATGGCTGTAAACTGTGAAGTGTTTTGGTGTCTGATAAGCCTTCACAAAGCCATGTGAGCAAGCCTGAAGAGAGTGCCACCATCTACGGGCCATGAAGAAAATAAAAAACAAGCATCCCCCCGTCCTTACCCACTTTGAGGAAGGTCTGAAAGCGCCCTTAGTGATGGAGACACAGATCAGCTTGTGTGCCCACTGTACAGTGAAAAGTGTGACTTCTCTAATGACCAATAAAAACATTTGGAGAGCTTTAAAATTATACTTCCAACAGTCAAAGTGCTCAGTGCTGGCCCTGACCCACAAGCCTCTCAAAAAACACCCAGAGCAACAAAAGTGTTCCCTGAAGATGAAGTGCAGCCATCAAGAGGTCAACAGACAACACTTGCCCATCAGTCAAGTAAACTGGGACTGGTTGACCAAAAGCAGAACTCTGCTACACCTAAATGAATTGAAGCATCCTTCAAAGCGCCGGGGAACAAAAGGTCACAAGGCTGAAGCTGTCTTTCATTCTGTTGTGAATGTCAGCACTGAAAGCTATCATTTTTAGCGCATTTTTTTTCTACGATCAATAACTAAAAAAAGGAAACGCTTTCAACTCCTGGAAGCAACAACTAATAATCAGGAAATAGTTGCTATATGATACTAGCTTTGGTACTGCTGTTAAACTAAGTAGGTTTTATGTGAAAACAAACCAGTTTTATCAGTTTCTCATGAGCAACAGGAATTGTGGCAGAGGAGTTTAATATTTAACAGTGTTAATTAATAGCAGCAAAATTGCTTTTATGTAATCTTTTACATTTGTGTCCTGATATTTTCCGGTGCTTGAGAATCATCATGTTTTTAAGTTTTACATAAAAATCCTCCAATAAGGGTCATCTGTACATCCATGGGTACATTCCAAACACAAACAGCTTATAGCTATGTTGGCATACTTTTTATGGTGTAAATTTGCCATAATGTAAAAGCCCACAGCTATCTAAATAACTCCACTGCAACATTTTACTTCCTGTTTACATCCCCCAAATTATAGTGAGTTTATAGATTTATTCAGCTTGTATTACTATATTTTTGAGCCCCTGCCATTAGTATTGTTTATTTTGCTGGCATACAAGTAAACACAAATAATTGACAGCTGTGGTGTGTTGCCTAGGAACTGCAAGATGCTGAACATTATCACAAGACGAGAAAGCATAATGGTTCATCTCACTGTTTAGACACCCAATAAACTGTCACAGTCTGTTTTGCAAAAAGCACTTTCTGAAATATGTTTTTCACTTGGATTTTTTCAAATAACTTTTTATCCTTTTTTAAAATTGTGAAAGACTTTAGACAAAAAACCTATCTGAGCTTTAAATAATGATGGATAAATGCATGCAGAGCTCAAAACTTTATGGTGGCGTAATTGTTTTCCTGACCACAAGCCTTCATTTTGTTGACTCACCCCTTCTCTCTTGTCTCTCTCCAAAGCCCCATGCATGAACTCCATTGACACTTCCTCGTTCTCTGCCAGCCAGGCCAGGACAAACTGGAGAAACCATCTGGAACAATAACAAATCAAAGTTTTGTTAATAACCTTCTCTTTGATGAACCATAAAGTTGAGTCGTCTATTAAAATTGTTACTTTGACAAAACATAAACCAGATGTTGTTACAGCTTTAGATTCAAAAACATCTTATAAATCCCTTTTTCAAAACCTTCTAAAATCTTAAAAAAAACTTTATTAATTATCCTGTTCTATTATGTCTTATCTGTGTCCATTTGTTTCATATCTTACTGAATTTGTCACATTGTTGTTCTTTTTATTTGTTGATTATCTCATTGTCTCATTGCTGCATCAATTAAATCACAATATTATTATTGCCATTACTCTGTCATCCATATTTCTAGTGTCCAAACCCAGTGAGGAGTGCTTTGAATGTGTGGACGTGTGTGTGTCTTTTATTGTGAATGTAACAACTGGCAAAATCTCATTGGAAAGGGAGAAATGATCAATCAAGATGAGCTCCCCTTTGTCTGGAGGAGACAGGGAAAGAGTGAGATAATAAGTATAAAGTGTGTGTGTGTGTGTGTGTGTGTGTGTGTGTGTGTGTGTGTGTGTGTGTGTGTGTGTGTGTGTGTGTGTGTGTGTGTGTCTTACGCAGGGTACTCAGGCACAGTGTCTGCGAAGGCGGGCAGGTCCTTAACATACTCGTTGTAAAGCCACTTGACCTTGAAGTGCAGGTTCATGTAGTCAGCAGTCTTACAGAGCTTATGCTTCTCATGTTCTGTAAAAAAAAATGACAACCACACACAAACACGCACACACAGAGAAACACAAAGATATAAACATAAGCACCACCACAATTTATCTCTGGAAGTGTGTGACAGCAGTTGTATGGTTACAGTCTCCTGGTGAAATCTTTAGTGCTGTAAATTCTTCGTGAAAGGTAGTGAGCTGAGAATCAGAAAGAGCATCATAACCATCTATGCACATGTTGCTTCCCAAAAATGAACAGATCACATCCTAATTTGGGTCAGACATTTCCTCAGTTTTCATCAAACTGACACTTCAGATACAGAGCAGAACTTCAGACCATAGGACTGAGGTGCATCATTCATCCATTCAACTACATTCTAGAAAGCATTACATAACATATCAAAGGTAACAGATGGATAGACCAATAATCAAATGAACAAATAGAGTATGTCCTCTTAAATTCATTGAGGGGAACAACAATGATAAAAAAAGATCTAAAAGTTCCTTGAACTTGCCAGAGAGTCAGACAAATAAAGCACTCCTGCAGGACAGTAACAAAGTGATTTGCTTGGGCTGGTTGTACTTAAAAAAAGCTTCAACACTGTGGTTAGATTCTTCACCCAAACTTTCATCAAAATCCATTCAGTGTTGTTTGTGTCACATGAACCAGGAAACAAACAAATGAAAGGAGGAATGAGAGCAATCCTACAGACCAAGTCTGATTTCATTTTGGGATCCGATTATGTGATAACTCCAATATTACAAACAAACAGTAGCAAGTGGTGGAGGAGTCACTGCCACAGTGCACCAATGTACTTGTTTTATTAAAATATTTCTGTAGTTCTAAAATGGTCTTATATTATGGAAAGATGTCAGTATTTGTAATTGATACTTAATGTCTTTAACAACATATCATTAAAAATAATGTCAAAAGCAAGAAAGTATACATCCATTTTCTCATGAACAAACCAAACGTTCCTATATATCAGAGGTTCCCAACCTGCAAGGAAACATATGCAAGTTTTAAAAAACGAAAAATATAATAATGTAATTTCATAGGCTACGGCAAGCTGTAATTACCTTAAAATTGGTGCATCAGTCTGTGCTGCATTTTTCCTCATTCCTACATCCTACAGTTATTTACTGATTTTCAGTGAAGCAGGTCACCAGTAAACAAGGTAACTGATATTGCAAGCCACCGCAATGAAATTTAGACAAAATAAGTTTTCTAGTTTTGTTTTCATGCTCACCCATTTAATTATAAACAAATGTGTGCAACCAACAAAAAGTCTCATAGGAGACCTTCCCTCCCGTTGTACGGTGCAAAACAGGTTGGGAATCTCTGCTATAAATGACTAATTGCAAATATATATATATATACACACACACACACACACACACATACACAGTCTTACCAGCATAGAAATCAACTTTGCGGATGCAAAATGTGGTGGGAGCTGAGATGGCGACAGAATTACAAGACAAACCAGTGAGAGTTCAGAAAAAACAAGCAAATGTGATAAAGCAATGAGTGAAACGAGAATGGCTTTAAAGAAGGAAAAATAATAACACATTACTAGGGGAGCTGGAAGGTAGACTAGACACAGAGATAAGAAAGTCTAGAAATGGCTCTCCTGAAGGAGTACACAGCTATCAAATTTCTGATTTGAACACAAAATAAAAAACTTTTGGACAGTATGCTGTCAAAATCAGCATCTCTACGGGTGCTTGTGTTTTCTTATAAGCAGACTTGACATTTTCACTACAAACACATTCTACAGTGTTAAGGTTTTGCAGGCCTCAGAGTGGCAGACAATGTTTCAGGATACTATAGATTCTACAGTTTCTATAAGCCTAATATGAGACACAGTCAGAGGACAGAATATTGAGTAACTAAGCAGGTTTCAAATGAGACAGAGGGACTTTCAAGTGTCAAAGCCGTCTGATGGCAATGGCTCTCACGCTTGAAAACACACATGCATTTATCTAAAAAGTACAATGTGGAGAGCCTCAGTCATCAAATCATTTATGGTATAGACAGTTTCTCATAATGTTAGAAACTATTATATCTGCTTCTACCAGGACTCACATGACCTGGAATGACTGTCACTATAACAGTATTTATTGTGGCACCATATCTGGGCACATGTTTTATAGCATTTTAAATATTATTTTAGGTTTGTGATGACCCATACGAGAGTCTGCTTTCCAAAGAAGTTTGATCAAAATGTACTTTTTTGGACTCCATAACCATGACCGGTTCCCAGGTTGGTTCTCAGACAATAACTATGGTTCTCTAAGTCTAATCTGTGATCTAGCACATACAGGCAACAATACAGCAACTGTTCCACTACTGAATCTTCTGACTGTATCTTGTCATCAGCTGCATCATGATTGTCTATAATCTCACCATTGTTCCAGCGGTAGTGGTCAATTTTATGCAAAACTGGAAGAGATGATGGCAAATAAAACAAAGAGTGTTGATGGGGAAAAAAACATTGTCTGGGTTGTTACTCTCTCTTACACACACAGATACACACACATACTGTCCACAGACACACACAATCTTACCCTCCAGGGCATATTTCATGTCCTGAGCAAACAGCATCCACATGACCTCAGCGCTGACTCTACCCACATTGAGTTCCTGAGGAAACCTGAAAGGGAGGAAGAAGTCGGAGTTCAGGACAAGACAAACAGTAAAAGTATTAGTTACTCTGCACGTGGTTATGTCTCTATGTTAATATTCAAGTTTAATTGTCACATATAATCATACAGGTACAATCATAATGAAATGTATTCAACTAATAATTGTAAAAATAATCACAAAGAGAATATATTTGCATAACATTAGCATACATTTAGCATAGCTAGCGGAGAGGCGACTGGATAGGTCCAGGCTTTCTATTGTGCTTTGTATTTAACTTGCCACGGGTTGCTTTATGTGTGAATGATCATAAGTAGGATTACACGTAAACACATGACCTGAGCATCCTTAAGGAAGATGGATATACACAAACATATGATCAAGCAGAAGACACACAAACACAAACACAAACACAGTAACTTGGGGTTTTCTCAGAATGAAAGTAACGAAAAAAACTTGATATTAATATTTAGTGAGCCAATATTTTATCAGCTTACTGCTGTGTCTACAGCAGTAACGTCATTAAAGGGAAACAACCTGCAGGAACAAGTTTAAATAATATGACACTAATAATCTACTTTCTGTCACAAAATCCTAAATAACATCAAATAAATGTTTGAAGGTTTAAAAAACAGCAAATATTCCAACGATTTTAGAAGCAACTTTGAATCATCATTTTTAAACTGCGACCTGAGACCATTGCCCACGCACTAAGTTCCAGTCACTAAATGCAAATTACTGTTTTAAACATTAATGTCACTGAAACTTTTTATTCATTGTAACCTGTAATACTAATACAGTATACACAAAAAAAGGCAAAGCCAACCAAAAATGTCCATGTGTACTGCTTATATGTGGCATTATGATGCTGTGGTAAACACATTTTTCTCAATTAGTGGATTTGGATTTTTATTAACTATGGCATAATAAGGGATTTTCCCTCATCGCAGACCTACAAAACAAAACTCAGTACTGACTGGTTAATGATGGGTGTGTAGGAGTTCTTGTCCTCCTCAATGATGGAGACGATGAGCGTGATGAGTTTAGGCCAAAAGTCCAGATTCTGGATGCTTGGGCCCTGCTCCTCCTGCTGGTTCTCTTCTTTTTTCTCCTCCTCCTCCTCCTCCTCCTCCTCCTCTTCCTCTTCATCGTCTTCCTCTTCGTCGTCATCCTCTTCCTCTCCTTCTGCTTTTTCCTTTTTCTTCTTCTTCTCCTTCTTCTTCTTCTCTGGCTCAGGCTGCAGAGGATGAAAAGATGTAAGAATTTTGTTGCCAAACATGATTTGTTTATACACCTATGAGAAGTTAAATCCAAAACCAGATGTCCAGCAACGCAAAAAGAAACATGTTGTTATGAAATGGGTGGCAGCACAGAACAAAAACAACTTTTAGTGCTCAACAGTTGTGATTTCAATGAATGATCTACACTGAATAATTTAATTACAATATTATTCCTCCACTGTATTGAAAGGTTTTTTTCTGGCTCTTCATTATTATGCAAAGTGTTGTTAATTTATACTAAACAGAGACTGGTTTAATGAGTTTAGACACATTTAGACATGACTCTTTCTGGGCACAGTTAAAAATATTCAGTGTTGTGAAAACAATTCTCTGGCTGATGGAGTTAATTAGTGCACCAATTAATGCTGTATGTACTGAAATTAATATGAGCAACTGAATGACGTGAAGCAACAGGTTTCTGATTCAGTTCCGTTTTTTTCATGATTTATTCTCTAAAATGGACAAAGTTAAAGAACTACTCCAGTACCGTATAATTGATTTAGGTCAGTTAGTGGCTCATAGTTTGCAGCATGAGAGTGTAATGTGAAAAGGGTGATACAAAATGTGCAAACATAGCATCCTGCCAAGACTGCATGTTAAATGTCTAACTGTGAGCATGCTAACAATAGCATACTATTAATAGATTTATACAGAGTATACTATATGAATGTGCTCGCACTGGCCCTAAAAATGTGAAGGTGACTTTGTGTAAAGTTGCCTCTGATTATTGAAGTTGACTACAGCCTCGGTGCTATATTCAAAATACCATTGCTGAGGCAGGACCAAACTATAGTTCTCACACAGAGAACATCAAAATAGTGCAAAAACACCAATAGCTGCATCTGTTTCACCCTGTAGAACAGTTCCGTGCTAGTGTCCTTGACTATTTCTATCAGGCTTTTCTGCAGCAGTCTCTGACCTCAACACTCCAGTATTGTGTAGGAATCAGCGAAATTACATTAAATTCCCATGGTAAGAAATAAAATCGTGAATTGCGATATTTTCTTTCTGGCCCATTTTTACAGAGTATTTAAGCCCAAAACGTGTCAATGGTCTCACTGGTTGGACGGCAGGCTGGAACTGGCGGTTAAAGAGCTCCAGACAGTTGTTGAAGATGTACTCGTAGGTGGAGTTCAGGCAGGCCTTGACGCAGTCCCGCACCACGTTGGCGGCCCTTGGAGGACTCGGCAGCTCCAAGACCTGCATAAGACCAGACATTGGGAAGACAAGTTAAATATAATTTACAGAAACACGCAGACATTCATCCATTCATATACCACATAGTAAATGTTACACATACATTAACATTATTCAAACATTATTGAATCATTTTTTTCAAGAAGCTGTGATTACCAAATATTTTTGAGTTCACCATATGAGAGTTTTATTTACGGATTTATTTTTGCCAGTAAGTTATAAACTTTCTCTCAAATATCAGAGAACCATGAAAAAGCACATAAAAGTCATATGGCTTTTACACATTATATAAATAATCACAAGGTGCATTACAAATACATCAGTGGAAATAATATAAACAGAAATAATTGGACAAATTGAGGCAAAAGTGAGATTTAAAACCTGCACGCATTGATACATGTACTCAATAACACACACACAGTGGAGGACAGAGGAAAGGTCGTGGATCTTTCCTCTGGAATCAATCTTCCTATAACAGACCTGAACTCGACAGCACAAGCTCACTCTGTGAGACACATTAGTCAGTGGCTGCAATCAATCCTACAACACTGCAGCTCAACTCTGTGTGTGCTCGACCCCTATGAAAAGCACAAAAATCTACAAAAAATACTTCAAATTTTGGGGTATGTGGACATGTGAGTGGAGACTTAGCTTATGTAATACAAGTCTATGACTTTAGAGTGTTCTTTTGGTGATTTGGTGATAATTAAGCTGATATTTAGTTTCTACCTTCATTCTGAAGAAGGTGATGCTGGTGAGAAGATCCACTGTTGACTTGAGATCATGGAGGCGGGCCTTGCTGCTGGCTGGGAAGTTGTTCTGCAGACAAACACACACACACACGCACACAAATACACACTTCTTAAACAATTCAATTAACTATTTGTTTCTTTGAATAGCAATGTTTATTTACCTTTTTGGACTACTTTTTTTGCTATTATATTGGTTGTTTGCATTTTTAATGTTCATCATATAGAGCTCCCAATTTACTCATCTTTTAATTAATCTCTGTATAACTGATTACAACAGTTATAAATATAAAATAATAAAGAAAAAAACACAGAGACACATCATCCTGACATAAACTATATGAAAACCCTGCAGAATAAACTTAAGAGACAGACAAATAAACAACATCTGAGGAGCTAAGAAGAAAGTATTTTATGCTCATAGTTTATGCTGGCTTGTTGTATTCAGATTTATACTGTGCCTTCCCATCACATCCTTTTTTTTGTGAAAGAATGGGGGCAAACTTGCATGCACTGGGATGGACTGAAGCTATAGATCTGTATGTGGCAAAGTCAACAATAAAAGCAGCAACACCAGCAGAGCAGAAACTTACTCTGTACATGGAGAGGTCGATACGCAGAGAGTTATGCAGCTGATCCAGGAGCTTCACAAAACGATCTCTCTGTTGGAAAGAGAAAAGAAAGAGCACAAAGGTTTTGCTCAGATTCTTGAACTTATTCAGACAGTGTGGAGGAGACAGATATGAGCAATTTGCAGCATGAGTCTGACCGACTGTGTGTGAGTGTCTTTGGATGGATACTAACAAGAAAGAAATGTGTTGTCTGGGAAGTATATCCAAATGGAGAAACATTTTTACTACACATGTCCAAAATGTAAGACCATTAGATAAACATGAGTATGTTTAAGTTTGGAAAAACAGTCCTGCACTTTATGACCCTTATTGATGATGAAAAGCTTCTTTTTGTGTTGTGCAGCCCTTCAATGACACCCTGATGATAACCCTGTATTTAAACAAACATGTATAAATAAATTAGTCTTTCTTTCTTACATTTTTAAACCTTTTCCCTTGCTCTGCCAAAGAGTGCCCAAAGTTATTTGTATTCCGGCAAGCAGGTGCCACAATTCACATCCTGCTGTCAATGTCATATAACCCACTGAGCAAAAAATTGGCTTTGCAAATGTTTTATGGACTCAACAGGTTTGTAAGGCCTCAAGAATACAGACAAGATAAGTTCACATACTGAGTTCAGTATTAAGGAGCTGCATGACGTTGTTGACTGTCTTTAGTCTTGTTTATTAAGAGAATGAATCTTTATTAACACAATCAACCGTTTCAGTTTGTATGGCTACACTGTAAACAACAACTTAAACTATTATTTAAGTACAGTAACCATAGGCATCGACAAACCAACCAGGACAAGAAATTACAAGAAATAAACCTTTAATCTTTTCACAATTCTTTATGTTATATTCATATAAACTGATGCTTTTGTGCGGTGACTTCTACACTCACATGCAGGGCCTGCTCATTTGGAAACAATTAAGGGTTTAGCTTAAAGACATGGAGACACATGGACAGAAGAAGCTGGGGACTGAACCATCCTATGATCAATGGCCAACCAGCTCTACCACCTGAGCTACAGCCAACAGCGGTATCCCCATAGCCTATTTTTGTAATTCATCCACTACTTCCCTTAATATGTTTTGGCAACACAAATACATTTGCATGTCATGCCAAGAAAGCAAACAGAAATCGAGAGACAGAGAGAGTTCTCTGGCGTAGTGGGAGTCACGACATGGCTGACAAACTAAAGAGACAAAATGAGTTTTGTCTGACACAGGGAATGAGGAGGAGGAAGAAAGGGATGCAGGGTTTCCAGCCTCACTGGAAATAAAGACAAAAGTCACTCAATAGTTTGCAAAAAATTGCACTATAAACACATTTATCTAATAGGTAAAAACACAGGTAAATCCAAAACTGGTGCAGTTGACTGTATAACAGTAGAAAAGTTCACACTTCAATCTTTTACTTCACTGGAAAAGTAGACACTCATGGTTGCATAGCAATTTGCATGCGCATTGTTAGTATATTGGAAAGGGTTTCCCTTCATTTTTATCTTTGGATGAAAGTATGAACAACAGCCAACATTAACTGGCACTAAAGAGCAATAAAACAATTGCCAAATCCTAATCAAGTCTTGAAAGACTCTTTCAACTCTTGTTTTGTTTGTGTCTATCTGTGCGTCCCATGGTGGAAGGAACAATGCAAACAGTTAGTAATTATGGAAGAGAAAGCAGAGACACAGGGTGTTATAGCTATGTGACTTATGAGAGTTAGAGAGAGAGGGAGAGGGAGAGAGAAATCTCCTAACACCAACTTGCACAACTACATTCCCAAGCTCAACTCTAATCTAGGAGGATAAGACTGGTAATATTCTGTCTGTTTTTATTGTGTGGGTTTATCAAACCCCCGGAAGTTTTAGAGCTTCATTGTGGTCCAAACACGTGTGCACTGGGTATCTGTCACAAAGTGATCCTTCAATGCCATGAGTGCACAAACCTTTTGACTAAATCCCACACACACCATCTTGCTGCTGTAAATACTAAGCTGAGTATAGTAGCTGTTTTAGGAAATCAGTTACTGTACAGTTTTTTTAGGAATGCACCTTTCCAACTTTTTCTCTGTGATATCCATCAGAAACCTCAACTCATGTCTCGAGTTGTCGATACCAATTACTGATCTAGAACCAGAGCTTTCTTTTCCCAAAATTTTAAAACTGTATGGAACAATTTCAGACCATTTTAATGAAAGGCAACATGAGGCAAGGGGTTACTGTAGTGCTAAGAAAACTGAGTTGGCAGACTTGTAACTGACATCAAAACACACAAAGTTTTATAAGGATTTTGATGAAGAAAATGTATTTGATTTGGATCAGTCAATATCAATCAGTTTAATAAGGTTACCCTTACACCTTAACCTCATCTCTAAAACCAAGCCTTAACCTTAACCTTCATAGCCCAGGAAAACACAAACACACACCTACACACACACGCACACACACACACACACACACACACACACACACACACACACACACACACACACACACACACACACACACACCTGACCTAAAAAGGCAGAAAGACAAGGATAACCGATCAGTTTGCACCTTTAAAACCTCACACGTTGTCACATTGTCCTTCCCTAAAGCAAGGCCTTCCTCTTCTTCAGACACACACACACACACACACACACACACACACACACACACACACACACACACACACACACACACAGTAGCAATAATAATTGTAATTGGCTCCATTCTCCTTGTTACCTGCTCTCCATACAGTGAGGGACAGGTTACTCCCTACAGGTCTACAGCAGTGATTCTCATCCCGAGGTGCATAATCATCCCTGTCCTCTGCTGCTGTGACACAATTTATGTGACCATAAAACATTTGGCATATGTTTCAATTCATCATTCATCATGTGATAAATGTCTTTTTTAATTGGGAATAATTAATATTACAAGCCTAAAGGTTTCACATCACAATTAAGTTAAGTGGCTTGAAGGGGAAAATAGAAATGATCATTTGGAGCTGAAGTTTTGGAGCTTTTTTTGTATTAAAAACTGCAATCAGAGTTTTCATTACTTAAGAAGACTTTTTGTGTATTTTGAGGATTTTAATATGGCAAAATCATTAACTATTACTGGCATTCATTCTTTTTTCTTTTATGTATTACTAATTAGTTAATTTATTTGTTAGAGCCAAAACATATGTTCTCCCTCAATCTGAAACTTGGTGCTTGGTTACAACTGATGTAACCAAGCTGGTTTCAACACCAAACTCCTTGTGGAGCAGGTGCAGAATCACACAAGCTAATAAAAGCTACCTTAAACAAGCTGATGAAGGCACAAGGCCATACATTATTTTGGGAGGAAACAGCATGTCTTGCTCTGGTCCTGGAGGCAATGATGCCCAAAGCAGGAAACAATTCAATAAGTATGCCGAGGAGCAAAATAGAATTTAGTGACAAATAATTTAGCTTTGAGACACAGTCCCAGTTCTCCTTCAGTGTGTGTCTGTGTCCGCTCTGATGACTTGATTTTAGATGAAAATTAAGGACAACAGAAACATGTAACAAAACACGCCACCCTTCATTAGCCAAGTCTTGTAATTTCTTATTAATCTTATAAGAGGTTTCCTGTAAAGCATAATGTATTTATGTACTAATTAAAGGGAAAATAGAGACAATGTTTTTTTAAATACCACAAAAATCCTAATGAAAGATATCCATTTACAGTAAACCCAAGTAATCATTAATGTCTTATTATAAACTTTACTTTTCAGCTGAACTGGCATGCACTGACTAAAAGAGGTTACGCGAGCAATGAATGCGAATTAATTAAAGTGTACCAGTTAAATTTTGTCTGTTTTCCCTATAATGAAAAGTAATACATAATCCTGAGTATTTGTAATACATCATTGAGAAATTCATTTTATTTCTCACTTCCTGTCTATGAGAAAATTATACTGTGTGACCCATAAAATAAAATGTGACCTAGTTGTATTTTAGAGGACCAGTGTATAGGGATTAAGTGGCACCTTGAGGTGAAGTTGGAGATTGCAGCTAATTGAAACCCCTTGACTCACAGGGGCTGTGAAAACCTTGAAAAAATGCCCTTTGTAGAGCAAGTGTTCCATTCTGGGCTACTGTAGAAACATGGCGGTTCAACATGGTGGACCCCCCAGAAGGCCGCCTGCAACGTCTGCAGATAAAAATGGCTCATTCCAAGGTAACGACAACACAAGAATTCTTATTTTAAGGTTATTTTATACTAATGAAAACATAGCTGTTGTTGGACCTTACGAGAGAGTTTTATTTATAGAATAATAATAGAAAGGTTAATCTTTTAAAGATGTTAAACTTCATATACAAATTGTATGTTTTTAATTGGAGAGCTTAAAAATGTGAGTAACATATTTCCACATTTCTGTAATGAAAACTTAAAAATGTAAAGATATTAAATATTGAAAATTGACTATAGACAACATTAACACAAAACACTGATGTCCAGCATCTTGTTAAAATCCTGATTGTTATATATTCTCATTTCCCTCTACATTCAGGAACTATTCTCACCTTATTAAGTGCAAGAACCAAAAACTCATTTTTTCAGGTGATTGTCCACTAATGAAAACATACCTATGAATATCATAATCCATTTCTGTCAATAGATCCTCCTAAATACTGCAGGTAGGCAGCACAAGTGTAAATCTCAGCTCAATTCTTTATAGAAAAATTGCACTGAGCTGCTTAGTCATTATTGACACCCACTACTACTCTACCTCTTCTCCCACTCAGGTGTAGTCACAATTCAAGTCATGAAAGTACAAATTGAGCAAAGATTAGAAAGTAAAATAGGCACTGCAAATCTGGGTTTTGGTATTATCATAAAAAAAAAATATCTTGTGATAATACACAAAAAAAAAATCGAGTCATCCCATGACCTGCTCTGCTACAGAAAGTACACTTTCAATATTGTATTAAAAATAATTGTGTTCACGATCAGGGAGCATTCAAAGAACTCTAAGATAGCTTTTTTTGCTGCTGAGATTTTATTTTTCAGATAAGCAGCTTGAGAAAAGTTGAGCAACAATTCACAGTAGCTTCACTAGTATTGCCTGTGGCTGACAACTAGGGAGCTCTCAGGTGTGAAAGTGTATAACAGATAATGGGCTTAACTGAAAAGGAGCACACTGTACTTGCTCAAAAACTATTCCCTGGGAAGGGAATTTATGGTAAAAAAAACAACCCAAAAGTGAATAATGTTTGTTCCCAATGGCAAAATTCATTGTGGGCAACAGCTTCCCTCTCAAGGAAACAGAGAGGTGCAGACATACACACACACACACACACACACACACACACACACACACACACACAGTCTGCATGCATATAAACACACCCGCCCACCTGTACTACATAACAGACAGTGTTACTAAAACTGTCAGCTGATGACGTGATTTCACAGATGAATTATGAAGAGCAGAAGCGAGGAAGAAGAGATTGACATAATGGCATCTTTTACAGGGCAGGCCAGAGGAGGACAGGGAGAGACAGAAAGGGAAGGAAAGGCTGAAGTGAAGTTTCACAAATAAGGAAATCACCTTATTGCCATGGCAACAGGCACATTGAATTGGACATTGGACATTGGCTTGGCTCAACGTTTAAGCAAAAAAAGTAATGAAGAAACAGAAAAAAAAAGAAGGAGGGAAATAAAGTGTGTGAGTTTCGATTGGTCTGTCTGGGAGGAAGCACAGCTGCACTAGAGAGGGAAGAAAGAGAGACAAGAAAAAAAGCTCCAACAAATGAAAAGAGACAGATAGTGTGGCCAAACAGATGGTAAAAAAAACAACGTCCCTGCTGCCTGTATATTGTTCTTTCTGTAACCAAAAATAAGAAATCATAAGAGAAAAGACAAATGATTTGTAAAGTTACAAAATACCTCTGATCAGAGACAAACCATAATTTCAATATAAAAACATTACTATTTAAATTAGACCAAATTAGCTCTGGTTGAACCGGATCCACTCAGGATTCAACAACAGTCAACAATAAATTATCTTCATATTAGGAATAAGGCCGCAACTGGAATGGTAGGCACCTTCGAGCACTAGTCCATTTTGATATTTTTACTTGTTCTTGAATTTAATTATATTAGTTTTGAGTAACTAAATTACACATATAATAGTGCTGAATAAGAGATGCACCAAAATTATTATACTATAATATCAACAATAGTACACATAGTTAGTGATGGAATATGTTTTAAGTCCCAATAATCTTTGTCTGAAATGCAGCTAACTAGCTAATGCTGATCTTGGTTACTGTGTCAGTTTCAACCAATGCCATATTAGTGAGTTGGGAGGAGTTAAGAGCTTTGAAAGTTGTGCTACTTGATTGATGCAACTCTAACATCAGCTCACCTTAGTAGAGATATATTTTGTTCTATTTTATTACTTATCATTTAATTTTAACACCATTAGATTATTTTTATCGCTTTATTTGATTTAACTCTTTTACCTTCACGCCTTTTTATGTTTAATGTAAAGCATTTCAAATTCCCTTGTTGTTGAAAGGTGCTATATAAATAAACTTACTTTCCCTAGTAGTAAGTAATGGTTTAGCGCTCACAGGTTAATCAATGTATTAAAGCATAGTCAGTTTGGAATAATTAATTTTCATGTCTGAAGCCAAAACATTAGCTAATAGTCAATTTGTCATTAATTAGTGTTGGTACCCTACTCTAGAGTGTATGATATGTCATGCATCGATTCATACATTAATTCAAGCTGAGTCATGAATTAATTACTGTCAAGTCACTGGAGTGTTACTGTTCTCGATGATCAAACAGGAAAAGAAAGAATAGCTTAATTAAAACAAATGAATTACCCAGATAGAAAATGCCTAAATTCAGTGAGACAAATAAATGTATCCACCTATCCAGCAGCAGGGCTTATTACCAAGCTGGAAACCCAGAAACAGACCCACACAGTTGTAGCCAATGGTGAGAGTAAAAGTCTGCATCCCCTGACCCATTAAAGCAAGAACACGCTGCCTGCAGTCGTATATCACCGGAGTCTGAGTGCAACCACTAGCAGAACTCAAGTTGGCACTATTGGCAAAGATCCCAGGAGTCATTAAGCTCGGCCTCTAGCTGTCATTGTCCCCCCCGTCGGTGGCTCTTGTGGGGCCCGCGTGCCAAATGTGGGCTACCGCAAGGTTCAGAGCCGGTCCAAAGGCCCCACAGTGAAAACACATTTTGATTTTAATGAGGACGATTATTAGCAGCAGAAAGGAACAGCACCTCCCGGCTCTGTACAGGTCATTCTCATGGATCTCTACGTGAAGCAACCGCTTTACAAAGTATTACAGACAACCCGGTTCACCTTCTGTGGGAAGACGCCTACTTTAGGTCGAACTGTAGCTTTAAGGCTCATTCAGACAGTTCTTACCTGAAAAAGATTAAAAATCAGTCAAGCTTCCCTCTGTATGTTGATATATGTGTTTTACCATGCATTTCCACTCTTTTTGGTGGGTGTGGTCTCTGTTTTAAGCCAGAAAATCGATAAACTTGAGTACAACTCTTCATAGCGCTTGCAGGGAAATTAAGTCAGTGTCATTGCAGTGACTAAAAGCTATTTGTACAATCCTAAATATATCATATATATATCAAGAAGAAAAGAGCATTTTGTGGTGACTGTTTTGGTAAAAGCATCTTAAAAGTAAAAATTCATTAAATAAAGAGATAACATAAAATGTTTTCTTAACATTCCCTCAATATCTTAACGTTGTTATGTATTTACATTGCTCCCGGAAGACAAACAATCATATGTCACTGTCACTGTTTTGACCTGTAATTTGGTGCAACCAATATATGTGCTTATTTTTAGGACTGATTGCTGTTGTGAATATCCCATTTCCTAGGCTTCATCAGAATTAAATCAGCAGTGTCTAAAAAATCTGTTATGACTGACAAAGGATGCAGTGAATACAGAAACAGAGAACAGAGCCAATAACTCTAGTTACTTTAGTTATAGACAATATTTGGTCCAGTATTCTCTAACTGTTGTTTCCCTGCAGTACAAATTGCAGGAGCATGTCACATGTAGTTGCACTGACATCAAGACAGATGACAAGAATTGTCTATGTGGCAGTTACAGAGCTAGAAAAATATAGATACTTGAAAAATGTTGCAATGTTGAGGCTGTCTTCAGTAGGCATTCCACTGAGTACAGTACAGTACAGAAAACAGTCTTGTTTGGCCTTCAGTCCATACCCTTTTAATTGTAGACTGACAATTAGATAATAGAACTTTTGGTTTTGTTAACCGTAGCTGGCTAACATTACTGGTCTGCAAGCATGTTTAGCAAACTGATGTTAAGATTTTTACACTTTTACTATGTTATCTTGTATTTTTTTATCAGTTTGCCTCTTTTTTGTATTTTTCCCCACACATTAATAAAGCATTTTTTGGTAACATCAAGCAGCAGGCAACACAACCAACATATAAGTAACAAAAAATCCTCCAACGGCCACAACAGAAATAACTATTACAGCCTGGTACAGAAAGCGGGATGGGGGGGATAGCTTTCTCCGTTCGCAACAACTGAACCATTTAAATTATATCAAGGCTTGAAGTTATGCATTATTAAGGGTATGGCCTCTTTGAGTGACAGGAGGGTGCCATCACAGGCAGCTGTTTTCAGTAACCAGGCTTCATTCAGCCCACCTCAGCTCCATCCACGCTCCATGTATTTGCACATTTTTGGATTAACTGGGAGCTGGCAGGGTGAGGACTTCCAAGATGGTGACAGCCAGAGCCACCACACTTTGAGCTTCACGACGGCTCATCAGAAACCAATGTGTGACGTCACGGAGACTACGTCTGTTTTTAATTATACAGTCTATGGATAACATGCAATAATGAGGCACTGTTAACTTGAGTTTGCTGACCATAATGTTATATCTTTAACTTATATCAGTGATAAAATCATCTAATGATGAGCTACACATTTTTACCATTGGAGTATTAGACCTCCAACTAAAGACCAGCAGTTTTGAACTGATTTAAAATTTGAGATGTTTAAGTTTAGGATAAATGTGTATAGATCTGGTGCGGTCAAGTCAAGCCTAATAATCTGGAGGGGACTACTTGTCTAAAACGCTTTTTAGCTCTTATCTAAAATTACCTGCTTCCCATCCACTGTAATTAAAGTTGGATTGTGTTGAGAACATTTGTTTTTATCAGTGTTTATTGTGTCTGGTAGTCACTTACCCCAAAGTTGGAGGCTGCAAATCTGGCCGGAGCAGAGACATTGGTGGAGGCAGTGGGGTGGGCGTAGAAGGCATTGATGTTGGCCAGCAGGGTGCTCATCACTGCTGGCACCCCTGACAGCATGTACTTAGATGACAGGCAAGAGAAATGGCTGTGAAGGAAAGAAAAGGACAGAGATTGGATGGAGATTGAAAGTTTAAATGTAGTAAGAGGTTACAAAAAGGCAGGATGGACATAGAGAGGGAGGAGTGGAGGATGATACAGGGGGACACAGAAGGGAGGGGGGGTTGAAAAGAAGGCATAAAGAGGTGTGGGATCAGGAGGAGGGAGGAGGAGATAAATTACAGAGAAGAAGGAGGATGCAGGATCAGATGGATGGAGGGAGAAAGGGGTTGGAAATGATTGGAGATGAGAGAGAGAAGACAGAGAGGGAGGGAAGCCAACAAAAGAAAATTAAGTGGGGATGAGGTACAAGGAGCAGATCACCAGTAGCCAGTTTCTCCAAATGTTATGAGTTAATATTAAGAATATACCAGACACATCTTTGAAACGAAACAGCTTATTTACATTTTGTAGTTACAAGACAAATTAAGACACTGGAAGAAGACTATAGATCCTTTACATAAATATCATTAAGGGGACTTGCATATGCTCTGTGTCTGAGGTAATAACCCTGGTGATGTAATAAGGGGTCCTTTTGGATTGAACTGAATGAAAACATGGGCATTTATCAGGCATGGAGGGTCTAATGAAAGACACTATCAAGTTGCATCATGGGAACTGAAGGACCAAGCATTTCATTTTTAAATCTGTCTTTTACAAGTACCCCAACTTAAAGATTCACTCCAGACCTGTTTTAAGACATAAAACTATGTGTCCGATAAGGTTTTCCCACAAGTCCTGACCTGGGAGACTGGAGTTTGAGTCCCATGTGAAACCAGAAGTCAGTCACAATTTGATTTGGTTTTAGAAATTTTAGGGTACGATTATTTTATTTGAGTGCAAGTAACTAATTCAGCAGCGTGAAATACTAGATAGCAGACAGGATCCATAAAAAAGACACATATATGAATTTTTGTTCTAGTGAAGGAGCCAAAATGTATCTTTAGTGAACTTTAAGTGAGAAGTGAAATTCTTCTATAATGGCTACATATGTGTATTTCAATCACCATTTATATTTGGCTGTGTTAGGATTGGCTCATATCCCCATTTCCACTGGGACAAAGTCTGGGCCATTACTGCTTACGACTTCAATTTACTCAATGCTTCCCAGTATGATTATGTTATGTGATTGTGCTTCTTTATCACACTAAACAAACACCCTTAAGGTCAAATTACTACATTATTAATGTAATTAAAACAGTGTGTGTAAATGTGTAGGTGTGTGTGTGTGTATGTAAATGTGTGTGCTCCACCTGCCTGCAGTGATCTAATCAAACAGCCTGGAAATCTCCGAGGTGACAGGTCATCTTTTCTCATTAGATGAGATAAACTAATTTGCATGCTGTTTATAGTTCATGACAACCCCGCCCATCGCTTATCGCATCAACAGAAATGCATACACACGCACGCACACACACACGCACGCACGCACGCACGCACGCACGCACGCACGCACGCACGCACGCACGCACGCACGCACACACACACACACACACACACACACACACACACAGGCCTATAAACACACTAATTTGAGGTATTTCCTGATCTCATTTATCCACGCATGCACTCAATTAGCTGACGTCATTGCCTGTTGGATGAATTGAATGGGAAGTGCCTGGCAAATATATTCAGATACACACAGACATTGTAACACTGAGCTTACGTCATGGCCTGGTATATGGACTCGATGCCATAGCGCATGGCGAACTCGTCCACGATGTCCTGCTGCACTTCATCAAAGTAGACCTTCCATGCATCGTCTCCCTGAGCTGCTGGGATCTTAACTACGCCGCCTCCCTCCACATCGGTTGAGAAGTGGAAGGTGTTCTACAACGAAAAGGGTTGAGTGGACAAGAAAACATTAGCAGTGTTCAAAGAAGGGACAGCCAGCAGTTATTCAGAGAAACCTCCAACATACAATAGAGAGGTGACTGTCCACATCTAGCAACTTTGGTTTCTTGCATAATTACAATTTAAAGGATTTGTCTGTTCATGTTAACAACCTCAAACATCAGAGACAATTTGACAAAACTGAAAGGCTTTTGATCAAAAACATCAAATTTAATGCTTAAACAATTTGTCAATTAATAGATTGGTCTACTGTGTCTGCAGAGAATTAAACAACAAAAATTTTGATTACAAATTGCTGCAAAGTCATAATACAGATCATTCATTGGATCATTTATCTAATTGTGAGGATTTGCTCCTGCTTTTCTCTCTCTTAAATGGTGTGCTATTGACCTGCTGCTACCTATGTTTTGTTCCTGATAAGGGCCCAACTCTATGGACTCCTAATGTACCAGTGTGCATGTGTGTGTATTAGTGACAGATTCCTTCAGTTACTCCTAGACTTGCTACTTCAGTTTATTCCTGTCAGTTTCAACATTACTGGTGTAAGTTTGTGTGTGTGTGTGTATCTGTGTGTGTTACCTCATGAAGGCACGTGTACTGTACGTGGTACGGTGCCACCTTCTCCTCTCCCTCGATCTCCACACTGATCTGAAGACGAATGGCACCAGACACTGCCGACTTGTCTGTTCTCTTTTCTGTAAATGGAGACACACCCACACACACACGCACACAATTACTCTAAAGTGATACATCCCTCAGAGTTGAACTTAAGTTGAACTTGAATCTAAGATGACAACTAAATCACTGAGCACTCCAAATGCTGTGCTAATGAGCAAAACCCACACTCCCAAACACAAACACACACATACATACCAATTATATATCTATCTCACAAACACAGAAATATACACACACCCATAGACCCAGTTTCCCCTACTCCCACAGCTCTGAGTGACTACATACCCAGGTTGTACCAGACGTCCATCTCTCCGCTCAAAGTTCGGACCTCAATGATGCTCTGACCCAAGAAGTCGTCAGACTCCCTCTTCAGACGCTGCTTCACTCGTGACTTGATGTCATCGTCTTCATCCCAAACACGCAGCTTGATACGATCTGATGAGTTGTGGCACTCGCTGTGGAGACAGCAGACAGGTGGTTGGGGGGTTGTTTTGACAAATGTGTGAGTGGTAGAGCAGATGGCTAAGGTGGAGTAAGTAAGTAAACATATGTTCAAATATATTTAAAAACTGTGCACCAAGGGAAAAACTATTTAGATGGCTTTTCTTAGATGTCTAGCATATAACTGTTGTTTATATGGCATTTAATTATCTATATTTTAATATAAAGAAAATTCGAACTAAAAGGTAAAATAACTTTTCAGAAAAACTTTGTCAGGTTTGGATCTGATTTTTACCAATACATATTGAAAATCTCTCCTTTCATATGAATGCATCACACACGTTTTTCTACCTAGTGTAGAATTGGCCCTGAATTTACCATAATAAGAACACACAAGAAATACTATACTATAAAAACAATAATATATATAACAGGTGCATTGGCATTCACAAATGCACTGATGTACCTATTCCTTACACTAGTACTAATAATGTCATTCAAATATCACTTTTGTAAAATACATGTTTGACATTTTGACAGCAATAGTTGCTTTCTTGTTAATTAATCTGTTATAATAATGCAGTAATATATGCACTGAATAACAATGGAGGACCTGCTAGTTGGATCTGACAGTACAAAAAACAAATATTATATTATGTTTACATGTAATAATAATATAACACTCTGAGCAGCATCCAATCTGCATAATTAGCACTTTGTACTTCTTCCTGAAGGCCCTGCATACTCTCATAGGTGTCTCATACGACTCCATGTATTGTATATGATGTGGTATACTAAAGATGTCTGCCTCACTTCCAAATAACTGGAATGATCTGTCTAGGTTTACCATCTGAAACATTCGAACACAAATGCAAGGTGAATTTGACAGTGACACTGTCTTTCTGCACTTTGCCAGATCTCTGAGGGCTGCAGCTGAGCTTTACAACCAGGAAGAAAATAACAAGCTGAACTTACAAGCTGAACTTTTCCTCCCAGACTGGGTTCAGATTGCCGTAGATGGTCTTTGTTCTTTTCTTGGTTTTCCCAACTTGGATCGTGACATATGGGTCACTGGAGCCCGTCCTGTCCTTGGCCTGGAGACCCTGCGCACTGACAACTGATAACAGGCACACACACACACACACACACACACACACACACACACACACACACACACACACACACACACACACACACACACACACACACACACAAGAAAAAACAGAGGGAATGACTCTGAAAATTGCATAAGAACAACAAACACCTACTCGTTACCATCATCTTTCTGTTTCATTCACACACGCACATAAAAACACAAGATATCACCCACACAGTTATACAAAGCCTTGTAACACAATACTCGTGACTCACAGGCAGATGTTGGGTAACAACGTTTCTCACCAAATTACTTTTACAACTGTTGTCACCGATGTTCTGCTGCTAGTAGCCAAAGAGGTCTTTTAAAAAGACTCGAAGCAGTGACCTGGCCTGGCTTTCAAGGTAAAAAAAACAGCCAGAGAGTTCAGGTATGTACCAGTAGTGATGCCCTTTATATACTGTTTCTGTACCAGTCTGTCAAGATAACAAAGCAGACCTTCTGTCTGGCTCCATTTGTATCCAAGTTACAGAAAACTGTTTTGATAGATGGAGATTAAAGGCTCATGAATTGAGTCTGGAGACATTTGTTTGAGACGGAAGGTCAACATGTAACAAGGAGGTTGTTTAACTCAAGGAAGGCTGACGAGTGCTTATTCACATTTTAGCATAAATTAAAATTAGTCAAATATCTGTCCATACAATATGAAGCTACAGCCAGCAGCTGCTTAGCTTAGCTGAGCACAAAGACTGGAAACAGGGGGAAAGAGATAGCCTGGCTCTGTCCAACAATAATGAAATATGCCTCCTAGCACATCTGAATTTACTAATTAACATGTATCTCATTTGTTTAATCCATACAGATTTAAGTGTTGAAATGACAACTGATCGTTTCACCAGGGATTATGTGTGGGACTGGTTGCCTGGCAACTGCTGAAGCCAAGAAATAGTGGTAAGCCTAACTAACTTCCTAACTAATCTCCGCCAGAAAGCGAATAAGTACGTTTCCCAAATTGTTGAACTATTTATCTAAAAATAGAGCACTGATCAAAACTCCTCAGCTAATACCATTTCCTGATTCAGTACCAGTGTTTTCTTTTTCCTAAATCTAAAATCTGTGTATTACACTTTAGGGAACTAATTGGGATCATGTACAGTAACAGGAGGACAGGGACTGATTTGAGTCAGTAGCCCACAGTGAAAGTGAAACACTATATTTTATGATGACATTAATGAAGAAACTGTATTTCATATGGATTGGTTAGTTATGGCCAATATCCGATCCGGTCCAGCAACAATCTAACACCGGATCAGTGCAAGCTTAAAATGTGCTACAGAGAAAATTTTTGTTTATACCTACAGGTGAAAGCCACATTCTGAAACACAAAAACTATATTGTTTTTGTACAAATACAAAACTATTTCAGCATTTGACTTCCTGTGCACTGAAAGTCAACATCACACCTGTCCAAATCAGTCCTTGTAATATCTTATAGTGGTTGATTCAGTGCTGGTGACATATTTTATCTATGCTGAAGGGAATTTTGAATATTAATTGGCTGAGATATTCCCTAATGAAATCAATGGATTTTTCAAAGAGCTCTCTGTAGAGCGTCTCTTGTCAGCCACATATCCTCACTATCAAGTTCAATTACTTTTCTTACGTACAAAACTGAGTTTGAGTTCAAAGTGTGTCTGAATGATTGGGGACAAGATTGCTTTATGCAAAATGAAAAAATAATCTGATGAAAAACTTTAAACGTGGCAATTTCAAACAACTTGAGTAATTTATAGACGTGTTAAAAGAATGTTTGTCGTTTTTTCTCCACTTTGTTTAAAAGGACAGCATTGGGTAAAGCTTTGTGACAAATATGGGTTTTATCTCATTTATCATAGTACAGAAAGCAGCAGCCACACTGGAGGAGAAACCACTTCGCAAATATTCAGTTTATAAAAATGTTTGAAGCCTTTAGCTAAAATCTAGCCTAACACATTTTTAAAAATCTTTTTATAACATAAAAAAGTCCCTGATAATATCTGTGAGTATGTGGACTGACCTTGATCAGCAGAAAAGTAAGTGACAATGATTAGCACCTGACTGTGAATGAATTTTAAAAAAGCTCCAGCTGAACTCCTGTCCCTGTATCTCCTGTTTAATGGAGATCATCACTGGTGATCAGGGAGACAAGGTGTGATGGCTGCCATGGCAACACTGCTGCCACTATATGGTGTGATGTGTCTGGTTGCTTTGGTAACAGCGGCAGTCCTGATGATGTTTGGCAAAGGGAGGACAGGAGAGGTGGGGAGGCATGTTTGTTTAAATTAATGAAGCTTGCAGATAACCCGTTAAAGTTTCTCTAAACACTTCAGAACAAGACTGACAGATAAAAAAAGAAACTTTCATAAATGTGAGATTTTTTTTTGACATATTTATCTTGAGAAACCTGACTCTGGTTCAGCGACACTATGCTTCACATTCACACAACTGCAGGTTTTCACAGCCGTCTCCGTCGTGTTATTCAGGTTTCTTGAGGGCCCAGAGGCTTAAACTGTTGATTAGTTTTGCCATCCATCTTTTCCTACCCAATCCTGGGATTTGAATGTGCAGCAAAACAGCTTTTTTAACTTTCTACCAATGTCATACAGTTTTAAAACGTGCCTGAAAATGGGTGGGAGGTCAGCTAAGTTCATGTCTCAACTTCTGACTTCCGATTAAATATGAAATATATATATATATATTTTATAAAAACATCTTAAGCATTAACCTGAAAAAAATTTTAAGAAATGACCAAGAACATGATTAGTTTCACTTATTGAACATATTGCTTTATACTAAAGATTGCATGTGTCAACAGGCTATGGGAAGTTGAGAGGAAGGCCATGTGACCTTGAGTATATTCTGCAGATTGTTGCTAAAAGCCAACACTGTTAAGTCCCAGTAGGTGCATTAGTAATAATAGAGAAACTGGAGAAGAGAGAGAGAAAGGAATCATCACACTTCTGAATAATTTTCCTTGATGATGATGCATTACTATAAAGTTGGATTGCATCTATTTTTTATTATTAGACATTTATTTAAATGAAAATGTCAATATTTGGGTTACCAAGATAGAGCATGTACAGTATTTAAATATTTAAGAAAATGTCAGGGTTTTACTTTTCTGAAGCATGTTTTTGTAATGTTTTGTGTCTTTTAAAAGCCAGAAGAGCAAAGAAGGAAATATTACTCAGTGTGATAATAGTTGATAAAAAGAGAGAGACAGAAGAGACTTTGTAATGACAACTCAGGAAAGGACAGTGTAAAGATTACTGCCGTACATTCAAGCTTTCTGTCATCTAAAACATATTTACTCCAGTTCAAAATGAATTGAATACAACAATATCTAAAAGGTACATTTTCCCAATGAGTATCTAGGTAACTATTTAGGAACTGTTTGGTAGTTTTTTTTAGCAAGTAGAAATGTTCACTGAACTTACTGTTGATGGTGATCTTGGCTGACCACTTAGAGGTGCCGTCCAGGACGCTCTGTTTGATGCTCTTCATATGCTGGGCGTGGACCATCTTGCTGATGTCAAACAGCTTCCGGATCTCCTCAAAGATCTCTGGTTTGTTCCTCTCACGGATCTTCATCCTGTCCTTCATAGCCATGATGATGTGCTGCGTCCTGTCCTCCGCCCCAGTCTTGGAGCTCTTCTCAGCTGCTCCTGATGAGAGGAAACAGAAGAGAAAGGTGGATGATGAGTTCAAGAGAGTAAAAGTGAAAAAACTAAAACTAGAAATGACATGTTCAAATTATGCGAAATATATATATAGTAACCACTGGAACAATGTAAGATGTAAAATGTTCTTATGGCTTTCAATAAATTTTTAGGTAGATTAATAACTTTACTCACTTTGCAGACAGTCAGCGTTCAGCAGCTCTTGGCATTTCTCATGCACTTTGACCCCACACTCAGCACAGCGCATACCCTGCCGCGCAATGCCCCACAACAGACCCTCGCACTCGTAGCAGTAGGTGGGCGTAGTGGCTGTCCACACCTCAAAATTGTGCGGCGTGGTGCAAGAGATGGGGTAGATCAGAGCCTGGAGGGTTTTCTTATACACATGGTTTTTCTATTGGAGCAAAGAGAGAAAAGAAGATGGATGGAGGAGGAGTGAGACAGAGGTAGAGGATGTAAGAAAAGAAGCAGGTTAAGAGAAAAGGCCATGAGAGATTTATGCAAGGAGATCAATGGAGAAAAATGCAAAAACAAGAATAAGAAAACAACAATGGAAAGGGAAAGATTTATTAACTATATGAGCTACAATCATTTTCCTCCTGTACATGCTAATTTTATGTCACATTTAAGAAAGAATTGTCTGTGATATTAATGAATGATGTTGAATGGTGTTAAAAAAATTCATAAAAGGATAATTTGAAGGTGGCTACCACTAAAATTATATAGAAATGTGGTTGTGTATGACAGTGCTAATTTGTGTTTTTATCATTCTTGGCTTCTTTATTGATTAACTAAATTCTGCTGTTGTCCATTGTAGGAGGAGTGTGGGAGGAGGTGAACACATCTCCACAGGATGAGAGGACACCTTGACTAGAAGCCCAGCTTGATTTGGTAAACACAGAAGAAAAAGGGGGGTATGTGAGTGATTATAATATGCTTATTATTATTATAGTAGAAATGGTGATATTGTGGTATTAATGGTAGGGAATACTGTTTTTTATAATAAAAAATAATTACTTCTTTTATGGGTTTCTCATGCCTTATGTTTACATGCTTTTCATGCTGTCATCTCTGCCTCTGATTTCACTCAATCTTGTTCTAACTTCGTTTGCTTCTGTTGATCTAACCTGTGTTCAATCGTTTGTTCAATTCATATAGCTTCTACCATTGTTTTTTCCAGTGTTATTATGACTAAAAGTATGGATGAGTTGATGGCTAAAAGATTTCAGCATCATGTTTACAGAAGTTTTTAATGTTTTCACAGGTTGTAAGCTTGAGACAATCTGCTCAGTGTCTGTGTTTTCGAACCAGCACAAAATGTTGCATATTTCTGAACATATGCTATTTCCATCTGTCACTATAATAATCGTATATTTGATAATAATGCAACAGCTAACATTGCACATATATTCAACACTCACCTGTAAATCTGGTATGGTCAGTAAGATACAAGGCACATATGCATGTTCTGGATATATGTCAGTGTCAGTGAAGTCAGTGAATAGCATAATCGGAATGACCAGAAACATGCACCTATGTACATTTTAATACAATCAAAAACAGAGGTCTTGTAATAAATATCAGGACCAGCTTAAGCAATGTGAACATGCACCAAGTAGTCCAAGCACAATATCAACAGAAACATTAAAAGTTATTAAAACTAGATTTTGTCAAAGGCTAAAAATAGATTATTTTTTTAATGTTTTATTATTCACTTTTTTAAAATAAATTCTAATGCTTCAAAATTGCCAGTTGCTTTGTTCTCTACTGTATTATTTTCTGATACACTCACTGACCTTCTTTAACCATTTGAATAATTCATGTTTCACCTAATATAATGTATGACTTGACACAGTAGAGTAGGAAAAGCACAGTGAAAACAATACCATAATAAACAATAATGAAACCTCATCTAGTCAGTGAAGCCTTGCTGCCATTGGCTCTATTAAAACTTGATGCTGCCTGGAGTTGACTCAGCAAAATTCAGAGCCTACGGTATATCAGTATATTGGATCTTCAAAAAGTACGGTTGGCGAGAAAAGGATGAAAAACTGTGTGTGTGTTTGTCTGTAATACAAGTTAAGGTTTGTGTGGATCCCTGTTAGCTGACATTGAGCTTGCATAAAATCATATCTTCATTTCAGTATATACTATATGTAAATATAAATATATATATATATATACATATATATTTGTGTGTGTGTGTGTGTGTGTGTGTGTGTGTGTGTGTGTGTGTGTGTGTGTGTGTGTGTGTGTGTGTGTGTGTGGCATATGGCCACTCACAAGCTCTTCGTCTTTCAGGGAGGTCCGTGTGGCCAGTGTGTGGGCGAGTCCAGCTTTCCTGGACTGTATCATAGACTGGAAACAAAAGAGAGAGAGAGAAATCATCAATCACAACAGCCACAGAGAAAAAACAAACAAGGTAAAGAAGAAAGAAAAAGCCAAACAGAATCTATAGTTAAAAAAAAAGGGAAATCAATTCTCTGTGTGATGTTGGGCTCTTTCAACATTGATAGTCATGGAAACTCTTGTTGAACAAAGACTTTTGAAAACATGTTACACATCTATCCTATTCTCCCTCCTTGAGGACAAACTCTCACACATGTTTAATTTATTACATTTGTAAGCATCTTCACTGAATGTATTGTAGTTAAGGATGTTACTTATAGCGTTTGTAGTTAGTACTGACTATTGAACTGATAATAACTAAAGATAAACTGAGAGATGTTATTGAGTAAAGGAACAGTTTGACATTTTGGGAAACACGCTTTCTTGCAAAGAGTTAGATGAGAAGATTAAAACCACTGTCATATCTATCTGTTAAATATGACAGTGGTATTTATCTTCTCATTTATATATTCGCCTTTGATTGATAATGAAAGCCTATGACATCAAGGAAAGGGGGGACAGGGAGAGGGGATGAAACGCAGCAAAGGCCCACAGGTAAAAGACAAAGCCATGGTCGCTGCAGCAAAGACTCAGCCTTGGTACATGGGGCAAGTTCTACCAGGTGAGCTATCAGGACTGTTTCTGGACTGGGACCAGTAACTTCCTGGAGTTATCACTGGTTGCATGGCAACTGCTCAGAGCCAAGAAATAGCCTAGTGCTCTATAGTGTTTCAGTGTAATATGTGTGTTAAGGTGGATGTGCTGCAGCAGGATGGTTTGGACAGGATTTGGACAGGATTTTGGTCTTCCTTCATCTGCAGCATAAACGATATGCTGGAGTTCAAATGCAGTTTTCATCCTACAGCAGCACTTTAAAGCTGTGATACACCTGAGAAATGTCCTTGAAATAGATGCACAGTTTTTTTTAAACCAAGGCAGCTCACTCTCACTCACACATGCTGTCAGTTATCATTAAGTTAAAGTGATTACTGCCATTTGCTACAGCACTCTATATCTCTTATTTGAATGAAGTGCAATGAGGCTTTTTTCTTAGTTGGAGTTTTAGTTTAGTATTTAGTTTTTTTTCCTTTATTTTACTTGAAGACATTAACTCACAAACAACTTTGAAAATTTCAAGGATAAGACTTGTTTCCATAGTGATTCATTATGTAGAGATAGCAAATATGCCAGGTGACTATGTCCTGAATATTGTGTTAACAGGTCCACAAAGATTCTGAAATGTATTACAGACCTTACTGCTTAGTGAAGTGCTTAATCTCTCCAGCTATGGCTCACCAAGAGTAGTCTTTTTTAATATTATTTTTTATAATGCTGAGATTATTAGATCTCCAGATATCTTAATAACTCAACAGAGAACTTTCCGACAGCTACAAGACCACATAAGAAGACATGCTATCACCTGAAAAGAGAAGTTAAGGTACAGTAGCAGGAATGCGCCCGGCAAGGGGTCTGAAAATGTGCTGCTTTTCAATCAATGCATCCAGCATTAATGTTGGTGAACAAAGCTGTGTTCTGTGTGGATATATATCATGGATTGGGCACAGTGCTCCGGTGAGTTTTGAATTAGGCTAGCATTAATCATTTGAGGCGACAAAAAAGAGTGAAAACGCACATTTGCAGGAACTTTTTTGCTTTTAATTCTTTGGGCTGCTATCTCCAAATTGTTTCAATCTCATCTGTACAATTTCCTTCTTTATGATTTGCGTAAGCTGAAGTTAGACTTGACTAGACAGAGCTTTTGTATCTCTTTAAACCTCATGGGTTCTTTTTTGCTTTTTCTGCTGTTGAGAGTGTAACCTTCACTCCAGAGGATCCCCTTCAAATCAAACGAGACAAGTTTCTTTAATCAGATGAGTCAAGTTTCTTATATCTCAGTGACTGAATATTCACAGTTCTAACTACTCAGATACGTCTGAGCCTCCCTGAAGTACTTCAAAGTAAATGTGAGACTAAAGGGAGAAAGACACAATTTAACACAACATTTATCAGTATTTGTTTGTTTAGAGAGGCAGGTGTGTTATTTATTTGTTGACTTGATGAATCACAGCAAAACAAACCTGTTAATTAAGACTTGTAGCTGAAAACCCAATCAGAGAAAACGCCTCTCGCTCTCTAAGAATCAATTGGCTGAGGGAAGCTAAAAGCATTCCCAAGAAGGAATTGATTTTTCTTGTGTTTGTCAGAACATTTTGAAATACAGGTGAACAATGAATTTGATGATATTTGTATGACAGTATGTGTGTGCATGCTCTTACCAATTTTCTGTAAACACACTTAAGAAAACTTCACACAGAGAAGATTGAAATGTTTTACTACCATCAGGACCATTAGAGAGTTTGAAATAAAACCCATCAAATAAACAATAAGACAGAGCAGCTAAAATCTCACTTCTCTTTTACTCACCATAGCCTGAGGGCCAACAAAGGGAAGGAGACAACAGGTGCGAGGAAAAAGAAGGGGGAAAAAAAACAAAGGTTAGAGACAAACAAACTGATTCCCCTCTGAGAAGATCAGCAGCTTTTACCTTGAATTCAGCAATTCGGTGCTTGCAAAAAATTTTTTATATTACACAGTGGGTGCACTACAGAAGTTCTCCTTCATCTGTCATTTACCTGTAGCCACATGAGGAAAGTGCAAGTGATCATTCCTGAAGGGTCAAATTAGCTGATTGTAACATGTAAAACTGGTATCACGCCAGCTTGTTAACATGACTTTTTTCTGCTACTTCCAATGCTGAAGCAAAAGGTAACAGGCCATTACAGCAGAAATCAATAACCAACAGTAGCTGCAGTGAGAAAAAAAAACTAACAGTGTACGCAATCCAGCAGCATAGGAAACCAACACCATGTTGATCAGAGTATCAAATGCCACCAGCAGTATTAAATACATTTTTAATTGATGAGTAAAGGAGCTCTTATGTCTGAATTTGTTTCAAATTGTTCTTCGTATTCATATAGTTTAACAATGTTTAGTTTAAGTTGTGAAAAAGTCAAGGTTCCATAAAGGTCCAAATTAACATGTCAGGAGGCATATTGAGTGATATGTACTCACCAGTTCACTAACAAGGGGTATGGGCCTCCTCTTGCGGAGGTCTGGCATGCTGTCAATGCCAAACGGTGTGTTTCCCCTGTACAGACACAAACAGAAAATGTGATGATCAATATTTAAATAAAGGAAATCCAGGTGCAAACACTGCTTTGAGGCAATCATATTCTCATTCACAAATACACCAAAAAGTGTTTACTGACCCTGGCTTGGCCCATGGGTGCTTGCTGGGGTCACCATCTTGATCTCGGCTCTGAAATAGAACGTCAAAGGTCACAAATTAAGCCATTTGAAGGCTGAAAGCTTTTATTGGTTTCATGACATTGGAGCATGCACAGGCACAAACACGAGAGAAACGTGAAGTGAAAAGAAAAAACAGAGAGAGAGAAGCACTGGGACTGAACTGGGTTGGTTGAGTTTCAGTATTGCATGCCAAAGAGGGCCCTTCAATCAATCATACTTCATCATAAATCTGGTTTCACCTTGTAAACACCTGCCAAACCACACATGCTTCCAGTAAACGTACGCTGAATATTGACTTTTGCTTCCTAACAGCATGGTTTTTTTTTTATAGCTAATTAAAGAAAATACAGCAGTGACATACAAACATGGTACCCTAACAGACTTGACATCAACATTATTTTTCGTCAATATTGTATATGACATTGTTACACTTATGACTGAAACAACAAATGTTCTTAGTAGAGCACAAATGTATTGAGACTGACATCTAGTAAAACCTAAGCTATTTTTCAGAAACTGACAGAAAGTGATATACACAATACAAAGGAAAATTAAATAAGAACACTGACATGAGAAAATGTCCAAAGAATATACAGAAAAAAGTACAGAAAGAAAAACTTTTTGAGGATGTCATGTTAATAATGTTAACAGAAGAGAAACCACAAAAGAGGTAACCTGATCTCCATCTTGACTTCCATCTGTAAAACAGCATAAGAAGAAAAAAAGAAACAGACAGAAAAGAAAAACAGTCATGGACAATTTTGACTTATCATGCGAAACAACAAGACAAACCCTGGATTATTCATGTTGTTCTAAATGCTTGTGTAATGTCAAAAGCAATGCCGCCACTCACTTTTCAGATAGACAGGGTTCTGAGGTTATAAATGTTTCATTAACATGTATAATTTATCATGAAAATGTCTCTTAATATTTCCCTTCTCCTTCCTCTTTAATGTCAGGCTTGCTTTCTAAGGAGATAATTAATGTTTTCTAATTCAGCAAATGGCTATCGTTGGAGCCTCGGAGAGGAGTAAGGGATTCATGAATGGCAGGTGATACATCGATCTCAAGGGGGCAGAATATTATAGTATCAGCAGAGACCATTCGGTAGGCTACAGTAAATACTCAAGGGACCTGTTGGAATGGGGGTATATAACTACCTTTTATCAATATATACATTGCACTGCAAATGCAACAGACGAAAAGGTTTCAGTAAGAAGTTCTGATGACAAAAAGGTGGGGTGGAAGAGAAACGTTTTTGAGCAAACAAGCCAATACTTTTCTGATCACTAAAAGTTAAATAACATCTATCCGTTTAAACATTAAATTATGAAAATAAATTATTTACTAAAATACAAAAAATACCAATGCTTTTTTACCCCAAGGATTGTTTAAAGCACAAAGGGTGGGAATAAAATAAAAAAAAATTCTGAGAGAGAGATCTGAAACTTAACAAATGACTCATTTACAGAAATTTACTGACCAAGACAAAGTGCAACATATTGAAACAAAATTTGATTCCAACTTAAAATCCAGGGATGACTACCTGGCTCAAAGTCATCCTGAGAGAAGGTGGACATGGTCATACTGGTGAGGTTGCGCCTGGTCTCCCTCTTCTCCCGCAGAATCTGCTGGAAGCTCCTCAGGCACTTTAGCCTGCGTTCATCCATCTGGCTTATATCCATGGGTAGCTCTGCTGCATCTCCTTCTGCTTTGCCCACTTGGGCCACAATGTCTGTGACGGGTTGATGTGGCTGTGGTACCTCATTTTCTCTCTGCTCCTCCAGTGCTGTAGGTTCATCAGCCAAGAGGGACACTGAGAGGGATTCTGTAGTGGTGCATTGTGAAAGCTGAGCTTTAACGGTCATATCTGCAGGACCTTCTACAGGCCCCTCTGCAGGTTGTTCTGTAAGGCTATCATGTGGATGCAGGGCTGCAGTGCTACTGGAAATTGGGTCAGGGCAGACTGAAAGTTCTTCTGGGAATTGGGGGATCTTATCCGAACGAGTAGGATGTTGGCAGGTGTCTGTAGACTCCAATGTAAGGCTATTGTTGGCTTCTTCAGGCATAGGCTCCACAGAGAAAATATCCAGTTTGTCTTGGGTATCGTTTTTACTCAATTCCCCAATAGCATAACTACAATCAACCACACCACCTATCAGGGTTTTGTCAGATGGTTGTTCAAATTGTGCCTCATAGCATAAAGGTTTTGAAGGCAATTCAGCTGTAGATAGGTCAGAAGTCATTGATATTTCAAAGTCTGTTTCCTCTCCAGGATTCTGGGCTGCAGGTACCTCAAGTTTGCGCAATGCTCCCCGCAAGGCAGAGCTAAAATCAAGTACAGCTCGGCCTATGCGCTTTACATTGAAACCACCAGCTTGGATGTCTGCACTGCCAGGGTGAGGGAGTTTGTTTTCTAAGCTTTGGTTACTGGCTTCAGTCGTTTGGGTGAATGGCCTATCCACATCAGCTACAGTAGTACATAAGGATGCATCAGTCCATGTCACGGCTGAAGACTCTTCGTAGGCCAAATAATTTTCCTGATAGGTATCAACTTGACAGTCTGTGTAGCTCAGATCATTTGATTGCCCATAGTTGAATTGTTCTGCTTCTCCATCAGGGCCATCAACTGAATGGTAACCAGAACTTTGAGGGTAAGAAAAATCTGCAGCACACTCATATCCTACAGTGGGGTTTTCAAGTTTGGTATCTGTTGGAACATGAATTCCAGATTGGGTTTGATGCCTTCTCCTCCGAGAATGCCTCTCCTCCCTGCTAGAAGTACTGGCAGGTGAGTTGTAATGTTTCCCAGAGCGAACAGAGAGATGTTCTGAGCTTCCTGTGGAGCACTGCCCTGATGTACCATATTGTCCTACACCTCTGTACTGATCCCAGCTACCAGCTCCTTCACAGAAAAGAGGACTCTCACCATGCTCCTCCAGACTTCTGCCCCTAAGGTAAGCAGTTTCCCTATGCCACACAGATTCCCCAGTGGGACCGTGTGGTGGTCCAATGTTAGTCCAATGTTCCTCCCCCTCATCAGCTCTTTGCTGCTTCCTTCCATGACTACAAGATGGTCTCTCTAGATCTGACTCAGACTTGGAACTATGACCAGAGGACAAGGAGCTCGTGCTGGGACAGTCTTGGCCATCCTGCCTTTCAAGGTAGCCAAAGCTGAGCTTTCTTGCTATGGCACCTACTGGGATATCGGAGCTATGGTCCGAGGTATCCTCTTGTTCCTCCAGTTCCTGTTGATCCATCGATTCAGCAATTGGGGACACAGTAGACTCTTCTGCTCTTGGTAACAGTAATTCTCCATGGGTGCTATGGCGCTCATTGCAAACTTGGGGGAAAAGATTTGAATGAGACTTTGGCATCGCACTCCCTAAACTGCCATAAGCACTAGCAGGCCTTCTGCGGGGGGATTGTCCATCTTTGCACCCTACCCCTGACCAGGTACCTGCGTGTACCCCTGAACCAGCCTTGTTGCTAGAACGAATGCCCTCAATCTCTAACAATACAGCATCTACACAGGATGATACTTCCTCAACTGATCCTCGAACTGAGGTCAGGTAATCCCTGAGGTCGGAGATTTCTTCCTGGATCTTGTTGATCCCCCTTAGCTCTTTCAGAATGTGCTCAATGACTGCACTTGACTCCTCCTCTTTATCTTCATCTTCTTCCAGCAGCGTACCTGGGAGAGCTCTGTTGAAATTGTAGTCCACACAGTCACCAGTAGAATAGGGTCTCTTTGGCCGAATACGGGGTGAAGTATAATCACTTCCAGCTGCTCCGGCAAATTTAGTACCATTCATGTCTGGGCCTATTGGACTGTAGTGCAGGGGTGGTCGTATCTCCTCAGGAATTGTCCGAATTTCACCCTCAAAAGAGATTCGTTTCAGATTTGCTGGGGATCTGCAGCTCTTATGCTGCAAAGTGCAGGGTATTCTTATACATCCCTCTCTGTTCAGCTCTACCTCTCCTACACATGGTGGCCCCTGTGGTACTCCATGTCCTTTACCGCTTGACACTTTTGGAGAGTAGGCTTCAGCCCTGTGGCTAACCTTTGGATATACACTTCTGTGCTCCTTTCTGCTCTCCTGTACTCCTTCTTCCTCCTCCTCAATACCTGCATAATATAGGTGTGAATCTGGGACATGGTGGTCTGCAGACCCTTGCAAGAGACGATGTATTTTACCCCGAATAACTAGTG